TATGGCTGGCAATACATGTAGTAGCGAGTTTCATACAAGGGAACAAGTGCAAGAAAAATGTAAAATCAGGACATCCTTTATCATGCATTGATAATGCATGTCTATATAGTTACTAATTCGTGTACTACCGCTTTAACTCTTCATACATGTATATGGATGGGTGTAAATGGGCATGAACAGTCGACGAAACATAGACTGAATGAACAGATTCATAAAAAGATAGCCACACAAAGCTTGAAAATACGCACACATAACAGCGAAAAGGAACTATAACCATAGGCAACAGCTTATACTAATGGAAACTTGGATATTAACCAAATTTGATAAGCATCCTTTATGCCTGCAATAAAACTAAATTTCTTGTGTTCTCAAGCCTTTCCAGGCATATTATATTTCTGGAGTAGATATATTGGTCCATGCGTGTTGGTTTTCTGTACACTGAGGTGGTGACATTGGAGTTCTCTCTTCTTACCATTACATTAAGAAATGGGAGGCTGCTGTTGGTTTCATTCGCCATAGTGAACTTCATTCTTAAATAATATTAATATGAAATGAAATGAAATGGGGTTTAACATCCTACTGTTTTGCTCCGAACTGGGCTAATGAAGACGGGCATACGCCATACAGTGTGCTATGAGGGAAATTTTGCCCGGACAGCGGCACTACGGCCTACTCTTATATCGAATTCCAACTGTCAAGGGATCTTTTACGTGCACGCCAATGTGTACACGGGACCTCGGTTTTTCGTCTCATCCGAATGACTAGACAGCTGTCCTTGTCAGGCCCTCCGTCCTGCATCACTGACAATATTAATATGTCCATTTATAAAGCGTTATATCCACAAAACGTGGTCATGGAGCAGAATACACAAGTCTCTAATAATATAATTTAAACAGATAAGTTTTCAAGTCAGATTTGAATTTATTAAGTGTAGGACTTCTGTGAAGGTCTAATGGTAGTTTGTTCCACTTAGTAGATGCGGCGACTTGGAAAGAGCGACCACCGAATGACTTTAACTGCCATTAAGGAACACATAGTTTTTTCTGATTAAGTGACCGTAACTGTCTAGATGGGATGTCAAATTTGAAGAGATCGCACAGGTACTTCTGAGCACTTCCATCCAGACACTGATAGGAAAGAGACAATATCTTGAAATCGACCCTGGCTTGAACAGGCAACCAATGAAGTTTTTTCAGTGAGTGATATGAGAGCGTAGATTTGACCTAGTCACAATGCGAGTAGCTGTATTTTGGGTGCGTTGAAGACGCTCCATTTGGTACTTTGGTATTCGGACAAGTAGACTATTGAAATAGTCAAGTCTAGAAAAAAATGAGAGATCTAACTAGAACTGAGGCTGCGTCTTCAGTGATGAGATTTCGAATGAAACCAATACTTTTGAGGTGAAAATAACACTTTTTGCACAGATCATTACAGATTGTATTTAGGTGAAATAGAATGGACGTCAGGGGCGTTTAGGGTCATCAACTAAATCAACTCTCTTCTCCGAGAGACGATCTATATAAAACCCGTACTAACCCGTGGACTAATAGTGAAACGTTTAACGACAAAATTAATGTTGAACGTGGAAGTTGAATTTACTTCATCTCTGATAGGGCTAAAGGAGGTGTTCTTACACCCGATTAGATTTTATTACATACTTCGAGAAGGTATTTGTTGAGTAATAAAACCTTCTAGTAGTTTATCGAGGGCTTGCCGTCCTTACCGCACGGTACAAATAAAACCTTCTAGGAGTTTATCGAGGTTCGGGTGCTTCCAGAGTCCAAAATGGCCGCTTTATATAAATGAGAATTTTGGGGATAACTAACCCGAACCCTAACCCTAACCCTTTTTAAAAGACTGAACTTGGGTCTAATTTAGTTTTTACTTCTCTTAAAAGGGTTAGGTTTAAGAATTTGGGGGAGAAGTTCTGGCTTGTTTTGGAATTTGTTGCTTCTAGTGGCGATAATATTTGTACCGTGCGGTAAGGACGGCCAGCCCTCGATAAACTACTAGAAGGTTTTATTACTCAACAAATACCTTCTTGAAGTATGTAATAAAATCTAATCGGGTGGTTCTTAAGGGGCGAAGAATGGGTCGTGGATCTACTTAAACAGAGTTTTTGATGTTATCTGCGGTAAGTTTACATAGGCAGGAAGGATGATATTTGTAGGCTGAAGTTGACTTAATTCGTCAGTTTGGGCAATTTCACCCTGCCCAACGCCCCCGTTTTCTCGCCCTTACCCGAGAGGGGATTTCGCGTTCTTAAGTTAGTGTTATGTTGTACGCGGAATTCGAATCTCTAAGAGGGGCAGAGGGGGTGGGGGTAAAGGGGGTGTTCTTAAGGGAGGAAGGAAGGGTCGTGGATCATCTTAAGCAGTGTTTTTGATGGCATCTGAGGTTGATTGAAATATGCTCGAAAGTTGACCGTTGTATGTATAAGTCGAATTAAATCGTCATCTTGGTCATTTCTTGTCGTTCTTATCCGGGATAGATGGGGATTTTGCATTCTTAAGTTAGTGTTATGTTCTAGCAGACCAATAGTGAGATGTTAGAACGTTATAATATCCATTTTAAAAACTTGTGGAACTGTGGAACGATTTATTAAATCTCCCTTGTGCAATAATAGGCCTATTCAGCGGGTGGGATATTACCATCTAGGCTTCGTCTTCCAATTGTTTTGGGGTGGTTTGTTTTTGTTTGTTTTTTTGTTTTTTTTGGTTTTTGGGGTTTCTTTTTATTATTTCGGGGTGTTTTTTCTTTTTTACTTAAATGTAAATGCATCCTGAAGTCAATGCAGTAGAATAATAAATAGCGAGTCAATCTGTTTCACATAGCTATTGTTTACATAAGACGTTATTGCGTTAACTGGTCCATGCCAAATGGGGCCTTTTACTCAATTTATATACTCATTTACACTAAATAAGAAATATTTTTTATCTAGATACTTCAAACACTTTTTTTTCTAATACTGATTGTAGTGGCCTAGCGTCATTTATCAAGGCCACTAGCAAAGTTCCCGAAAGCGGCCAAGGTCACGAGATGTAAACTCCAGGTGGCCTTGGTAATGGTAAATAGATCCAATGACGTCTAGTCTCTTCTGATCGGTGTGTTCATTGACGTCATTTATATAATATGACGTCCTCTATGCGTCAGTGAAAGTGGTCATTAACGTATATCGTCGGTGTCATTCCAAAACCTCGTAAGTCGGCATTTTTTCGAAAATCACTTTTTTGGATAAAAATACATAATATCAAAAAATCAGAGTTATGTGATAAACAGTTTTCATTTTATTAGCGTGTGACCAAACCTCGTATCACGATTGGCCTGATTTTGTTCTTTTCTAAATCAAATGCTCGTATCTCGGCAACGTGTTATCGATGACGATGTCAAAGGCCTTAAAGTGATATATTATGACAAAATTTCGCAGGATGTAATAACTCCCGTCAAAAAGCAAAACCTAGTAACTCACTTGTTTCTTATTTTGAGAAAACAAAGGAAAACGTAATGAATGAATATTAAACCCCAGCTCATCCAGTAAATAATAGTGAGTAAATAATGTCATTGCTTGTATTGTTTTTAAGGTGGCGATACCAAGTCATTACTGCCGGGCTACGTCAAATAAATCTTTTTTAGTGTCCATGTTTGTCAGTTTTACGCTTCTATATAGAAAATACAAAGACCACTGCAATAATAACGGCCCACAATAATCTCTTGGTCAAATTCTACACATTCTGGCATGAATCTCTTTTGTAGTTTTTACAGAACATCTTAAAGATGAACAAACGTCAGCTTATATTTTACAGAACATCTAATAGGGGTTTTAGAATGACACCGACGATATATATACGGCATTGAGTGGGATAGCGACATTTATTATTAGGGGTGGGGGTGGGGTGGATGGCCGAATGGTTTGCGCGTGCGCCTTGTATCATAAGGACTGTCATTGAGTCAGCTGGCGTCTGTAACGAAAAGCATAATTCAGCCTAACCGAAATTTTGGGAAAAGTTGGAGCCGGGCAAAGGGGCCAGAATTAATATTGAAGTTAATGGGGAAATTATTGGTGGTTTGCGTCCTTATAGGACTATAGTGCGAGTTATAAATAGACAATTTTTCCCTTAATTCCCCCCCTCCCCCTCCTATTCCTGCATTTTTGGGTTGACTTTTTGGTTTAGAATTGGAGAAAAGGGATCAAATTTGGAATTTCATAGCAGTTTTGGGTAATACTGATGATATTAGAGCGGAGGGATAGGGGGTGTAAAGTGTCTTTCTGCAGAGCAATCATTGTGTTGGAAGTAAGATTTTTACCCCAGTCAACTTCAAATCCGTGTAGCAAAAAATCTAAACGGTCAACCCCCTACAAAATTATGATGAGGAGATTGTCAAATGTCGTCTCCATTGTGCCTATAAAGATTAGAACCAACGGAATGTTGAGCAAAGAGCTAAAGCCTGTGATGTTACAGCCATTTAACATTGAAGTCAATGGGCAAACAATTGCTAGTCTGAGTCCTTTTGTGAACTTTTTTTAAAAATAGAGTTGTTTCCCGTAGACATAAATTTTAACTAAACAGAAGTAGTCTTGGTTTTCCAACAATAGATGATTGCTTCGATTTAGAAACTTAGCTAATTGAGACTATTTTTTCTCGAAGTAAATAAATCTCACATTTTAATTGGTTTTATTAGCTATATTTATTTTCATTTTGTTCAAAAAATATATTTTATTTTCAAAACTAGATGTTATATGTATACACATACAATAATAAATTACGAAAGATATTTCTTGAAGTATGAAATGTAATATTAGCCAATCACGTTGCACTACATTATTTTCTGCCAAGAATGGCGGCATCCCTGGCTTGTGCATGACAAATTAATCGAAAAGTTGTTGTTTTACCGTTATTTTACGTGCAAAACAGCTGAGTAGTAACGGTCTTCCGTGTGACACATCCGTGTCTTAACAGTAAAGTGAAACTTTTTTCCATGTAAACGAATTCTGAAGTCTTTAAATTTTCAGTTGTGGCCAGAAGAAGAACCCGCGAATTTACTTCAATTTAGATTTGTTTTCAATTTAATTTGTCTTGTTTTGACTTGGGAAACTAACTTCAAGTTTGAGTACCCTTCAATAAATGGATAAATAACTATCACCAGTAACTATAGATGCAAGTGATGAGATTTGTATTTTACTAAAACATCTGATCTGGTGTATAAATTGTGATTGTCCACTATCATCGTTGTTATGATAGGCATATCCTATGGCCAGAGCATTAAGATTAATTAGCCCAACGGCACAATTTTTTTTTCTTTAACAACCCCCCCCCCCAAAAAAAAACCCCAGAAAAGGCAAATGATACGCACACATTCGTTTTTTAACTTTTTAAATTAACCATAGCTTAACTTGAAGTTTTATCTTTTTCAGTAAGTTGAAATGCCTCGTTTAACGAGAAATGCTCTTAATACAGAGAGTCCTGAGCCAACAAGACGTAGTTCCAGGGCATCCACTCAAGCGTCATCTACCAGCTCTCAAGCTACTCCGCCACCAGCTCCCAGGTAGTTTAGAATTAGATTCTTTTGTATTCTTACCATGCTCTATAAATCAAAGTTTTTCTGATGCTCTATGTTTGGGAAAAGGTTGTTTCATTTTAAAAATAAACTTCCATCGCATTAACCTTGTGGGGGCCTGAGGCAAGTCAATGGTGGGACGTCAGGTTGGTTTGAATTCAGAAAACACATGTAGGCTCAAATGCGACCCAAAGCCTACACCGAGATAATTTAGAAAAATATATTCAAATTCGTGGTGCATTTTTAGGTATATTCTGGGTGAGTAACAATAAGTTAGATAATCTCGAAATATTGAACTTCATTCAATGTATGAATCCCAAGGTTACCCACAGAGTGTAAAAGGGGCCCTATAGCTAGGAGTTAAGATACCTCCCCCACCCAAATTGTGGATTGAGGGCCTTCATATTTCAAATCTAAATTAGAATCTGTCGGTTATCTGATGAAACTTTTGATCTTGTACTCAACCCAAAATTGGTGGGGGGGGGGGGGGGGGAGGGAGACCTGGGAGTGGAGTGGGCCTTCATATTTCAAATCTAAATTAGAATCTCTCGGATATCTGATGAAACTTTTGATCTTGTACTCAACCCAAAATTGGTGGGGGTGGGGAGGGAGACCTGGGAGTGGGACATTTTGACACTCATAGATGCGGTACTGATCCTGGGTTGTTTCATGAATCGATTCTTCCCTCTAATAATATCGGACATGTACATGTACGTCCAATGTCTGTATAAACTTCCAGTTAATTTTTTGTTAAAGACTTGTCATTATACTTTTTCCAGGCACTGAAAATTTTATCCCTGATTTTATAATAATAATTTGTATTATTCCTTAAATGTAATTTTATGTGTCTTCCTATTTGTAGTTGAATAATAAACCAGAACTCCGAAGGAGTACTGACATGTTTCGATAAGTCATGGTCACGTCTTGTCACGTCAACAATCAAGTTTAGATTACACCATGCATTATTGAATATAGTAAGATGCAATACCTATTAAAGCGGAAAAACACATGTCAGTAATAAAACTGGAATTGAACTTCAAGACCAAACTAAATAGATACATGAGGGTCATCATATATACAAAGGTCAAGGGTCATTATAGGTTAGGTCACCAGATAGAAGACAAAAAAAATTCAAAGTTGTTGCCATTTGGAATAGGTCCAAAATAAAATAAAGTTTTTGAAAATCGGAATCAAAAAGGCAGCTGAATATCGATTTGAAGATTTTTTTTTATTTTAAATCCAATATGACCGCCAAATGGTTGAAAATGTTATGGAACAAGGTCTCTGAAAATGAAAGATAATATCTGGGCTATCAACACCATATGTCATTTTCGGTCTATTTTTAAAATGGAGAGAATTATTCATGTGTATTATTAACTTCAGGGGTAGAAGTAGAAGTAAAAGAGGAGCAACTGGGGATGCAGGTGATGGAGAAGAGAAACCAGTTGAAAAACCAGAAACTGAGAAGTCAGGGAGAGGAAGAAGTCAATCTCGTAAAAAAGGTAATTCTTTTCGTTCATTCTAAATTTTGGTAATCAAAGCAATGTCTGTTTTAGCATACTGAAATTTTTATACACCCACATTTTCACATGGACGTATTTTGACATCACCCGGTTGATCTATCAACATTTGTTTGTGGACACTCTATAGGTCACAATTTTTATCTGATTTTGACGAAATTTTAAACATAAGTTTATATCCCATAGATCTTTGATCCTTTTGATACTGGCATGTATCAGACCCTAACATCATGAATTATGGTCCCAGACTGTACGAAAAATTGCGTTTTTAATTTATCAATCCTCTTGAGGTTACCATATTTATTTGATTTCAAATAAACGTTTGAACAAATATATAAACCATTACACTGTAATTACAGTTTGCGTTTGAATTTCATAAAAATTGGATCAAAATATGCTGTCAAAATGGCCGCACCCCTTTACGCAAATAGTGTTAAAGTGTGTAATACCAAGGTTGTAGACCTTTAGAGGTCACAATTTTTATTATACGTCCACATAAAAATATGGACGTATATTGCCGTCGCCCCATCTGTCCGTCTATCGTCCACAATATCTTATGAACGCTCTAATGCTAAAATTTAACATCCAGTTGTTTTAAAATTGATATATGTTGTTTGCATTAGTGAGGTGAAGAAGCCTATTTAATTTCAATAATTTCTGTTTATTACTTTGTTGAACCATGTGAACGCGCTAATGCCAAAGGTTAACATCTGATCTTTGTGAAATATATATGGGTCATTCCATGAAGTTGACACCTAAAGTGTGACATAGGCATTAAAAGTTCAAAATGTATTCGGAGAGTAAATAACACATTGTTTGTTTTGTTTTGAATGTCTCCTGATGTATCAATGTGGTAAAAATATAAAAACTTTACAATTTTCTGTAAAAATTTATCATTTGGTGGTATCAAAATGTAAAAAGATGTAATTTATTTTACAACATCTTTCAAAATGAGTCTACGGGTAACAATGACCAAAAACACATGTTAAAGTTCTATAAAACAGTACTCATAAAAAAAATGCGAAATCAATTCCTAATATTGTACATCTATTTGCCTTGTACAGTTTTTGACCTGTTGATTGTACCATCTAATAAAAAAAAAACATTACATATCCTGGGTAAAAAGAGTTGGTTACATTGTCCACATTAAATTCCTTTGGAAATCAATTTCTAATATTGTACATCTATTTGCCATGTACAGTTTTTGACCTTGTGATTGTACCGTCTAAAAAAAATTAAAAAATTACATATCCTGGGTAAAAAGAGTTGGTAACATTGACCACATCAAATTCCTTTGGAATCGTGATATATTGTTAAGTAATCAGGGATAAAAAATTGCTTTAATCATCCCAAGGAGCTATCACCTTCAAATACAAATGATAATGTGGATGATAGTCATGTACATGTATGTGACAAGCACAATGGTCACCTGTTTAACCTTGTGGGTTTTGCCAAGGACTATCATTTACCCCCACAGCTAAAGCCCTTTGCACAAGCCAATTATTGAAATAACCTAGAGTCGAGTGACAGCTAAAGTCCATCTCTCTCGAACAACCATCATTTAATAAGTTAAGACTTTGGAAATATGATTTAATATTTCATTTATTATTCAACATGTAACATAGTGATCAGTTTAAAAACAAAGACAAAATAAAAATGACATGACAAATAAAATGGGGTTTAATGCAAATGACATAACAATAATGGTAAAATAATTGGACGGATAAAGTGTCAATACTGATTTAATTAAATTAGACGGATAAAGCACCTTACTGATTTAATTAAATTGGACGGATAAAGCATCAATACTGATTTAATTAAATTGGACGAATAAAGCATCAATACTGATTTAATTCAAGTAACGACATGGGATTTGCATTTTTCAGAAAATATCTTCTTCTTCATAAACAATGCTGATACTTAACATTGACTGACTTAATACTTAACTAAGTAATCAAAACATCAGCACTATATAATTTTCCCGCATAGATTTAGTGAATGCCAGTCAAGCCATCCACACGAAAAATCTGGTTAAGTCGTCCACACCCGTTGGTGGAGTCGTCCACACGACTTAGTTTAATTTCGGGATATAGTAATTAATACGTTGGTAAAATCGTCCACACAACATAGTTTACTTTCGGGACACATAAGGTATTCTTAATTAGTATATTTGTCCCCCGCCTTTCGAAGAAAGCAGGGGACTATTAAAATAGATTCATCTGTCTGTCTGTCTGTCTATCTGTCCGTCTGTCCGTCCGTCACACTTTTTGGGACACAATAACTCTCCTTCTAATTGACCTAGAATGTTCAAACTTGGTGTAGGTGTTTATTAGGTCAGTGGCTAAGTGGGTAAGATGCTGGCTCGCTAGCCTGGAGGTCGGGTGTTCGATCCCTGCATTGGCCGAGAAAGTTCGTCCAGATTTTCCGGCGTGGTTTCCCCTTGTCAGTGATACAGGACGGAGGGCCTGACAAGGACAGCTGTCTAGTCGTTCGGATGGGACGAAAAACCGAGGTCCCGTGTACACATTGCCGTGCACGTAAAAGATCCCTTGGCAGTTGGAATTCGATATAAGAGTAGGCCATAGCGCCGCTGCCCGGGCAAAATTTCCCTCATAGCACACTGTATGGCGTATGCCCGTCTTCAATTAGCCCAGGTTAGGTGCAGAAGAGTAGGACGTTAAACTCCATTTCATTTCATTTATTAGGTCAATGCCTTGATGGAGTTCGAAGATGAGCATTTTCTGCTTAGGGTAAGCAGAGATAAGCAATTTGATTGGTTGATGCTTTGGGACACGATAACTTTAGTACTAATTAAGTGAGAGTGATGAGCATTTTCTGCTTAGGGTAAGCGGAGATAAGCAATTTGTTGATGGTTTGGGACATGATAACTTTAGTTCTAATTAAGTGAGAGTGATGAAACTTGGTGTATAGTTTCATTACATCAATACCTTGACTAAGTTCGATAATGAGCATTTTCTGCTCAGGGTAAGCAGAGCGATAAGCAATTTGATTGGCCGAGACTTTGGAACACAATAACTCTCCTTCTAATTGAGCTAAAATGTTCAAACTTGGTGTAGGTGTTTATTAGGTCAATGCCTTGATGGAGTGTGAAGATGAGCATTTTCTGCCTAGGGTAAGTAGAGATAAGCAATTTGATTGGTTGATGCTTTGGGACACGATAACTCTTTAGTTCCAATTAAGTGAGAGTGATGAAACTTGGTGTATAGTTTCATTACATCAATACCTTGACTAATTTTGATATTGAGCATTTTCTGCTCAGGGTAAGCAGAGTGATAAGCAATTTGATTGGCATTATTTAAATTAGTGAAACGAAGAAGCATATTGAATTTCAGCAATTTCCATTTATTACGTCTAGAGTTATGGCCCTTGTTTTACTCTATTGAACCTTGTGAAGGCTCTAACACCACAAGTTATCACCCAATCTTTGTGAAATTTATATGCATGATTTAAATTAGTGAAACGAAGAAGCGTATTTAATTTCAATAATTTCTGTTCATTACATCTAGAGTTATGGCCCTTGTTTCACTTTATTGAACATTGTGAACGCTCTAACGCCATAAATTATCATCCGATCTTTTTGAAATTTATATGCATTATTTAAATTAGTGAAGCGAAGAAGCCTATTGAATTTCAGCAATTTCCGTTTATTACGTCTAGAGTTATGGCCCTTATTTCACTTTATTGAACCTTGTGAACGCTCTAACATCAAAAGTTATCTGCCGATCTGTATGAAATTTGCATGCGTCATTTAAATTAGTAAAGAGAAGAATCCTATTGAATTTCAACAATTTACAACAATTACTTCTAGAGTTATGGCCCTTGTTTCACTTTGTTCAACCATGTTAATGCTCAATTGATGAAAGTTATCATCCAATATGTATGAAATTTATAATTTATAAGCATCATTTAAATTTGTGTAACAGAGGTCTATTGAATTTCAGCAATTTCCGTCAATAATTTCTAGAGTTATGGCGGTTGTGAACCTTGTGACAAAAGTGATCATCTAATCTGTATGAAATTTATATGCATTATTTAAATTAGTAAAACGAAAAAGCCTGTCAATTTTCAACAATTTCTGTAGATTACTTCCAGAGTTGAGACGCTTCTTTCAGTTTGTAGAACCTTGTGAACCCTCAAACGGCAAAAATTATAATCTGATCTGTATGGAACTGTCTCGTAAAGGCCCCCAATTACCTACAAAATAATAAATATGCGACAACCCTTGTCGAACGCTCGGACGATTTAGCTGCTGTGGGTGTATGTTTCGTTGCCTGGCAACCTATCTTCTGATTTTGATAAAACTTAATAATATGTATGTTTATTTCCCAAAGATCTTGGTTCCTTTTGATATTGCCGCATGTCGAACCATAACATCCTGAATTATTGTCCCTTATTGTACGAAAATCGTCTTTCATAGCTTGTTCTCTGTCCATCTCTTGCAAAATGCGGCGTATCTTGCATGGCAACCGCTTGTTTTGTTTCATCTTGATTCACATTTATTAAAACTCAAAAATGATTGAAGCAGCATTTATTGTTGTCATCTGCAAATCAAAACTCCCAAGTGAATTCATTTACATGTATGGTTCTTATTGTCTTAAGAACCGTATATTTATTGATTTGGAATTCTCTGCATGAGAGTATTCTAATTTTATGCATGTACATGATGTTGTTGAATACATTGATACATTTTTGATTTCAGTTGAAACTAATGTTGCGGAGGAGCAAAAACCACGTGGTAAGAAAGAAACCCCTCAGACACCTAAGAGGGGAAGAAGTAAGACACCAGGTGGAAGAAAAGGTAAAGCAGCTAAAGTTGAAGATGTACAGGAACCAGAGGAAGCAGATGAAGTTGGAGATGTAAAAGAAGAGTTAGATCTAGAACCAGAACCAGTTGAAAAGGCCAAAAGACGCACTAAAGCCAAGGCACCTTTTGAAGACAGTCCAAAGCCTCCTATAACAACTTCCCCAACTAGTAGGGGTAGAAGAGGCAGGCCATCCAAAGGAGGGTCGCCTGCAACAAGCACACCACCTGCTAAAACTGCCTCAAGGAGGGGGCGAAAATCAGATGTCCAACCTGATACAGACATTTCAGTTCCTGAATTGGTAGCACCTATTACCAAAGGTGATGAAGTTGTAGCTGTTACAAAAGCTGAAGAAGTTGTAGCTGTCACAAAAACTGAAGAAGTTGTAGCTGTCACAAAAGCTGAAGCAGCTGTAGTAGCTGCCACAAAAGCTGAAGCAGCTGTAGTAGCTGTCACAAAAGCTGAAGAAGGTGTAGCTGTCACAAAAGCTGAAGAAGTTGTAGCTGTTACAAAACCTGAAGAAGTTGTAGCTGTCACAAAACCTGAGGAAGAGACTTCAAGTCCAGAGGTTTCAAAGACATCAACACCATTTAAATCTTCAGAAACACATCAGACTACATTACAGCCTGAACCAAAAACATCATCAAGTCCTGTAAAGAAACCAGATCTGCCCTTAACAGAGAAAGAACATATGCCACATCCTTTTGTAGAACCAATCACACCTGAATCAGAAACAGCTGAACCAGAACCAACTCTTCCTAGTCCAGCCATTGAAGATGTATCACCAATGGAGACCGAACCTGTTGTCCTTGTACCAGCCCCTGTACCAGCGACTACTACTCAAGCTGATCAAACTCCATCTTCCGGCGGGACTAAAAGAAAACTGGAAGAAGCTGATGGTGATGAAGTAGATGAACCCAGCTCTAAGCGACAAAATATTGTCAGTGAAGATCAATCAAATGAAGCCATGCCAGCAATGACAACTGATGTTGAAATGTTTGAACCTGCACCAATCAAACCAGATGTTAATACACTAATCAAACCAGATGACAGAACATCAGCTATACCAACACAATCAGAACCAGTTTCACAATCATCATCCCAAACATCAGAAGCTGAAGCGAAAACTGATGTTGAGGACTTCGTAATAATTTCTCATGCAGATGTTCCTCCAGCCAATAGTCAAGAGATTCAAAAATCACTTCCAAACTCTCAAGTTGAATCTACTGTCTCTGTTCCTGTAAAAACACCTGTAGCTCGAGTTTCCTCAGCTTCAGAAGTCAGTACATCTGAAGCAGAGGCAGCTCCTAGTCTTCCAGTGAAATCAGCTTCAACTGAAGCGGCTGTTTCTAGCCAGATGGACTTTCCCTCAATTCAGACTTCTCAAAATCCAATGGTAGAAGATGTATCACCTGTAGAAAGCAGTATGGATTCAAATATTGGCAGTTATGGGGATGACAAAGAAGCTGTAGCACCACAGGTAAAGCTGATTATGAATTATTTTAATATTAGATGATAGACTACATGTATATAGTAGTCCAGTGCAGCCGAACAGAAGTTAATACATAACATTTCAGGCTACTTTTTTCTACATAAGTCTTTTGTACTTTTGTACAACGGGGTGTACTCTTTCAATGGAATATTGCCGATCCCCCATGGCCCAATTATAATATTAATACAGTTCTATGTACAGGGCAAAGGAATTTCAAATCTTTCTAGAAGTAGATACCCTGTACTACATGTACTTCCCAAATACTTACTTGATCAAATCAGAGTGCGATTTTTTCTACTATTAAAACTATTTTTATTCAGGCATCTGCCGCTGATTCTAACGTATCATCACAGAGTGCAGAAGTGGATATAAACACACATCTAGAGCCTGTGACAGATTCCAATGCCAATGAAGCCATCCCCCAACAAAACAATTCATATAATTGTCAGCCTGTATCTCAACCCATAGTCAGTCAATCAGAACCGGTCACCAGTAGTCAAGCGACAAGTAATGGAGTGAACAATACAACAAACCTTTCAACTTCTCCTAAAAAGACAATCGATCACTTTGAACCAAAGCTGGCGCCAACCAGTGCATTTTTAAGTAACTTCAGTAGCGATATCTTCCATAGACATTACTTGTCGAACCCTGCTCTAACCTCACCCGTAGATAAATCCCGCCAGTTTAGTCTCGTCTCATATAACATACTAGCTGATTGTGCTATGAAAAAAGGTGATTACAGCTATACGGAAGAGAAATATTTAGATCAAACGTATAGACATAATCTATTAATTAGAGAACTCAAGTCATTAGATGGAGATATTGTTTGCCTCCAAGAAGTCAACCCAAATTATTTCAACACGTTATTAAAACCTGAAATGGAAGGGTAGGTACTTTTTACTTCATATTTAGAATTGCTCTAAGTGCCAAATTGTCATGTCTACATATTTGAATGAGTTAGTGGTAAGTGATCAATGATAATTATCAAGCCACTCATATAATTAAATTCATTAGATGAGATAAAGAGCACAGTTCAGCAAATCACATTGTACTTGCTCAATATTTTGAGCTGGAACTTTCATTACAGGGTAAGCTATTTGGTTTATTTCTACCAAATGTTTAGTTTAAACTGATGTTTTGCCTTGTTTCAAAGCGCCTCATTACATATTGTGTCTTAAATATTGGATATCAGGAGCCCATAACACTATCAATATTGATTGAAATTGGCCAATATTAAAGGACAATATTGGTGTCAGTCATTATAAAATAGGTGATAGAACTGGTTAAATACATCCCAAATATAATTTTAACACAGAGATCATTGCTACGGGAGATGTGTGACAAGCACGTAAAGAAACAGGAAGTGACGCCAAACATGACAAACACGAGTTATCCTTCTATATAACTGAATGAAGTAACGAGCGATAACAGACAAATGATCGAATTTAATTTCACTGTTACACATCTCCCGTAGCAATGATCTTTGTGTTAAAATTATATTTGGAATGTATTTAACCAGTTCTATCACATATGTAATAATGACTTACACCAATATTGTCCTTTAAACTCTAATTTGTGTTTTTATACGCCCACATTGAAATGAGGTTGTATATTGTCGTCGCACCCGTTCGTCCGTCAGTCCGGCGTCCACAATTGCTTGTGGACGCTCTAGAGGCTAAAGTTTAAGGTCTTGACACGAAGAGGAATCCTATTGATTTTCAGCGATTTCTGACAATTACTGCCAGAGTTATGGCCCTTGATCACTTTGAGAAATCTTGTGGACGCTCTGGAGGCCAAAGTTAATATCCGATTGACCTTATATTTATACACAGTGTTTAAGGTCATGAGATGAAGAAGCCTATTGGTTTTCAGCGATTTCCGATAATTACTGCCGAATTATGGCCCTTGATCACTTCAAAAAATCTTGTGGATGCTCTAAAGGCCAAAGTTAATATCTGATTGACTTTAAATTTATACAGTGTTTAAGTTCATGAGACGAAGACGCCTATTGATTTTCAGCGATTTCCGATAATTACTTCCAGAGTTATGGCCCTTGATCACTTTGAAAAATCTTGTGGACGCCCTGGAGGCCAAAGTTAATATCCGATTGACTTTAAATTTATACAAAGTGTTTAAGGTCATGAGACAAAGAATCCTATTGATTTTCAGCGATTTCCGATAATTTTTGCCAGAGTTATGGCCCTTGATCACTTTGAAAAATCTTGTGGACTCTCTAGAGGCTAAAGTTAACATCCAATTGACTTTAAATTTATACACAGTGTTTAAGGTCATGAGACAAAGAATCCTATTGATTTTCAATGATTTCCGATAATTACTGCCAAAGTTATGGCCCTTGATCACTTTGTGACGCTCTAAAGGCTAAAGTTATCATCCGATTGACTTCAGATTGATACACAGAGTTTCAGATCTGAGACGAACAAGTATATTGATTTTCAATGGATTTTTATGCCTTGAACAGCTAAATCCATGATATTAAAACGTTAGCATGGGGCAGAACTTTATAAAAACCACACAAATTCTAACGGTTTTCTGATAATTACTTCATGAGTTGTTGCTCTTAATCAGGTTTTAGTGTATTATAAATGTTTCATTACTCGAAAAAAGTAAAAATATGCGACAACTCTTGTTGACTGCCCGGACGATTTAGGTGCTGTGGGCGTATGTTTCGTTGCCTGGCAACCTATCATTAAATAAATGAATAAACATACTAAGAAATATTGACGAATATTTCAATTGGAATAATGTAAAAGTAGTTAATTGTCGAAACAGAGTATAAGACGATTTTAGACGATTGCTGGACTTCTGCTGAAAATTGTATCGACTTGACTTATGACCCGAAAAATACGGTAATTTTGGAGTAATTTGAAACAAGTACGGATCGGCAGAAGTCAGCACGCTTTCATTCTATGGTATAACGATGTCAAGCAATTTTGTAGGAATATTTTTGACATAAATTTGAATACCGTACGGGAATTAAACATGAAAAATAACCAGGTGCATCTATCTTTTATTACGTATGAATTGGAATATTTTGGTGACACATGATTATTAATTGTGGTTTGAAAATGCCTGCTTAAAAAACGATAAGAGTTATGCCCCTTTATTTTGGGAAAATAGGTCTTGACTAGAAATTTTTTTAAATCCCATCGCTGCTCTAGAGGTTAAAGTTAATATCCGATTGACTTTAATTTTATACACACTGTTTAAGGTCATGAGATGAAGAATCCTTTTGATAATCAAGTATTTTCGATAATTACTCCCGGAGTTACAGCCCCTGACCTCTTTGAAAAATCTTGTAGATGCTCTTGGGGCTAAAGTTAATATCTGATTGACTTTAAACTTATACACAGTGTTTAAGATCACAAGACAAAGAATCCTGTACATTTGTAATCAGATTTTCATGTGTTGTATATGTTATCATTACTGACAAAAGAAAAAATATTTCTTGTTGACTGCCCAGGCGACTTAGTTGCTGTGGGCGTATGTTTCGTTGCCTGGCAACTGACCAATCAAATTTATGTAAAGCGATGTCTCCTAAGGAGATATTGCAGTAGATTATGAAATATATCACACAAGCGATATCTACTGTAGAATGTATTATTGGGTGATAAAAACTCTTAACACTACATGTAACTTGTTGTTCTGACCTCCCCCATTGGGGGGTGGTGGATGGCTGAATGGTTAGCGTGCGCGCGCTGTATCATAAAGTCTGTCATTGAGTCGACTGGCGTGGTTTCGAATCCCCGGTTGTACGTGGCAACGAGTAGGGTCGCCTGTCCAACCTCGTGGGTTTTCTCTGGGTCCTCCGGTTTCCTCCCACTGTTAAAGACCCCTACGCACAAGCGAATTATGTAAATAAAATTAAACCATATGTTAGTCCCGAAATGACCTAGTTTGTGTCGAGTAGACGTTACACCCCATTTCTCTCTCTCTCTCTCCCTCCCCCATTGTTGTTTGGTATGGTATGTGGACTATTTATAATAGATGACATTTTTTAGATAATGAACACATTACAATATACAGTTCTATGGATAACAACTATTGAGTTAATTATGGTTTGCCTGAAAATATGAATGTATCTATAACAAAGTCATTCAAATTAATAATTTATAATGTATGGATGATTTTAGGTTGGGTTATATAGGATCTATGCATAAAAGATGTCAGGATTCATTTGATGAAGGAGAAGCAACATTTTATAAATCTAGCAGATTTTCTCTAGAAGAACAGAAAGGTTATTCTTTAAAAGATCTAGCTGATCGTGTAAGTATCTGGTTTAATATTTCCACAAGAAAACTAAGAAATTTGCAGGATGGTTACATGTATTTTCTACCTTGTTTAGTTGAAAATTCTATACTAATTGATGGTAAATGTTGCCAGCGCTGAATTTGGATGAAGATATATTAGGCTATTCCACTTAAGCGACCCTTCCCAATTCCACACTCTCACGACCAGAGTAGGATGGAAGCGTGTTTTTTGTCCACCACCTTTCAAAGAAAGCAGGGCTTCTATTAAAATGGTTGGTTGATGGTTTGGGACATGATAACTCACCTTCTAATTGAACTAGAAGGTGTTTATTTGTGTAGGTGTTTATTTGGTCAATCCCTTGATGGAGTTCAAAGATGAGCATTTTCTGCTTGTAAGCAGAGATACACAATTTGATTGATTTGATTGGGACACGATAACTTGAGTTCTAATTAAGTGAGAGTGATGAAAATTTGGTGTTAGTTTCATTACATCAATACCTTGACTGAGTTCGATAATGAGCATTTTCTGCTCAGAGTAAGCAGAGCCAGTGATGGGATTTCAAAATTTTAGTTGTCGGACATTTTCTTCCCAAAAAAAAAGGGACATAACTCTTATTGATATTTAAGCAGGCGTTTTCAAACCACAATTAAGAATCATGTGTCAACAAAATATTCAAATTCATACGGTAATTAAAAAAAAATAGGTGCACCTCGTTATTTTTCACATTTAATTCCTGTACGGTATTCAAATTTATGTCAATAATTAATATTCCTACAAAATTGCATGACATCGTAATACCATAGAATGAAAGCGTGCCGACTACTGCCCATCCGTACCGGTTTCAAATTCCCCCCAAATTAACGTATTTTTCGGGTCATAAGTCGATACATTTTTCAGCGAAGTCCGGCATTCGTCTTATACTCTGTTTTGATTTATATACGGAAGGTAAAAAAATGACATCCCGAAATTTATTTGACCGTAAACCGTAGTAAACGTCGCATTATAATACAACGAGCGAGTGACACCAACTGCTAAAAAATCCCATTTGACTCTAAGCATGCGCTATCGTCTAAAACAATTACCGTAACTACTTACGTTATTCCAATCAAAATATTCGTCAACATTTTTTAGCGTGTTTATTTATTTATTTAAAAACATAACCCCCATTCAAAATATGATCATAAATCGGATTTATGATCATATTTTGAATGGGGGTTTATGTGCCATCAAAATCGAATCTTTTCTCCCGACATCATACGTATTAGATTCGGCACGTTTACACCTCTTAATTCCACGTGTCTCTCGAGATTTCTACTTTCATTTTGCTTGTGTGTGAAATAGCTTTATTTAACTTTGGCTTCCACTGAAGAAATATGACAGACAAGTTATCGGACACAATGTATATGTGTGTGTGTTAGTTGTATTTTACGTCCGCTTCCACCGAGGTGATATCGCAGACAAGACAATGTATATTGATTTGGGGGTGTTATATACTCTAGGTGACATATATGACTAATGTCTACGGCCGACATCAAAGAGATTAAAACGTGAGACAATGGAGAAATCACGGGTTAATCACATAGATTAAGTTTATTGGATTGATATATAGTCTGACAAAGGAGAAGCAATGATTTCTGCTCAGGATTGAATTGATGAATTAAGTCAGTCAATCAAGGCAGATTAAGTAGTTAATCTAGGTATGTGTATAGACCGTATAAAACGATAAATACGTTGATCACTTAATTACCTAATCAATCCAGCCTATTATCAACGATAATCGGGTTGAGTGGTAGTTATACACTCAGTACACTATATTAATTTTGGAATTTTGAATATTATTTACCATGTCTTGATGTCCGATTCGGCATATTCCTGGTCGGACAATTTGGAAAATAGCGTCGGACATGTCCGGAATATACAGGCAAAATCCCATCACTGAGCAGAGCGATAAACAATTTGATTGGCCGAGACTTTTGAACACAATAACTCTCATTCTAATTGAGCTAGAATGTTCACACATGGCGTAGGTGTTTATTGGGACAGGTGAATGCCTTGATGGAATTTGAAGATGAGAATTCTTTGCTTAGGGTAAGCAGAGATAAGCAATTTGATTGGTGGATGCTTTGGGACACGATAACTCTAGTACTAATTAAGTGAGAGTGAGGACACTTGGTGTATAATTTTATCACATCAATACCTTGACTAAGTTCAATAATGAGTATTTTCTGCTCAGGGTAATTGAGCTAGAATGTTCAGACATGGCGTAGGTGTTCATTAGGTGAATGCCTTGATGGGGTAAGCAGAGATAAGCAATTTGATTGATGGATGCTTTGGGACACGATAACTCTATTACTAATTAAGTGAGAGTGAGGACACTTGGTGTATAATTTTATCACATCAATACCTTGACTAAGTTCAATAATGAGCATTTTCTGCTCAGGGTAAGCTGGGAGATACATGTAAACAATTTGATTGCTAAATACTTTGGAACACAATAACTCTTCTTCTAATTGAGGTAGAATGTTCAAACTGGTCTTTAAAACATGTTATATACTGATTCTTTGTCCTCTTTACAGGCAATAAACAATAAACAGTGCACCCATTAGTAGCAGACATTTATCGTCTGCTACTATCAAACAAGTTTAACAGCAGGTTCATAGTCCTTTGCTGGCTCCCCAGTCATGTTGATATTAAAGGGAATGATCAAGCTGACTTAGCTGCTAAGTCTGCTTAAGATCTTCCCATAACAAAATTTCTTTTACCATTCACAGATTTTAAATCGCCCATAAACTTTTTTATATGTGACTGCTGGCCACGGTCTTGGGATCTTGCAGACACAAACAGACTTCATCACATAAAGCCTCTCTTAGGAGACTGGCCAAGCTCCTATACAACCAGCAGGAGAGATGAAGTGTTTTTTTGTCGCTCTCGCATTGGTCATACCTTTTTAACTCATATTTTCATTTTGAAGCGGGAGCCTCAACCAGAATGTGTTCACTGTCATGTTCCTTTGACAGTAAAACAGTACACATCTTGATTGAGTGCAATTATCTCAAACATATTAGATCTAAATATTACCGTTGCCAGTCAGCACGTCAGCTATTTGCTCAACCAGAGCATTATGATGAATTGCTAGCATTTTTAAAAGAGACAAACTTTTATTCAAAATTTTAATTGTAAATATTTATCTTATATGTTGTTTTAAATATTAATATATGTAAAGGAATTGATATATTTATTTTTGATTATATTTTCTGTGATATTTGTTTTTATTTACATATATGAATACACCCCTGTGATATTGTTTTAATTTGTCTCGTTAAATTCACCATATGTTTGGCGCAATATAGCCCAGTTGGAGCTGACGTGCCATTAAAACATTTCATTTCATTTCATGGTGTAGGCATTCATTGATTGAGTTTGGTGATAAACATTGTCTGATTGGTAGATGCTTTGGGGCACGATAAGTTTTGTTATAATTAAGTGAGAGTGATGAAACTCTGAGTATAGATTCATTACATCGTTACCTTGACTAAGTGCAATGATTAGAATTTTCTGGTTAGGCTAAGGAGCGATAAGCAATTTGATTAAGGTTTAAACTTGATGTGGATGTTCATTAGGTGAATGTCTTGGCTGAGTTCAATGATTAACATTTCGAGCGAAAGCTAAGCAGAGCTAAGAAATTTCATTGGTCGATGCTTTGGGACAAGATAAATTTGATTCTATCTGATAGAGTGATGAAACTAAGTGTATAGTTAATAATCAGTTTGATTGCTTGATATTTTTGAAAAAAATGAATGTGCGATTAATTAGTATGTGTCATCTATTTGTTTTGGGATTTCGGCGGGGGACATCAGCCTCACTGTTAGCTTGTTATTTTTATTTTATCAAAAAAGCACATGTTATTAAAAAACTAAAGGGATGAAATCTCAAAAAATCGTTTTGAAAACTTGTAATAACTTTTTACACTTAAAAAGGAGAAAGAAAAAAGTCCATGTGAGAAATAAAAAGAAGCAAAATCTTTGGTTAGCATTTGTGCGAATCAAGTTAGCTACCTTCATTTGGGCTACCCAAGATTTGATTCACAACATGCGATGCGAATCTGTTTATTGAGACTCCTGCCTAGGCTTCAGTCAGCCTGCACTGATTGTTGTACAAAATATGAGCGACTACATTACCCACATCCCTAGATCCCTAGTAAAGTTGTGAATTTGTTTGTCATAAATGTATCTAACCTGATTCTTACCTGTGGTTGATTAGATTTTCTGCTTTTTCAATACAATATTATATCAATTTTAAACTGTATTGGTAATAAATTATCTTTGTATTTAAAGGAAGTATTAGCTGGTGGATTAAGTGATGAGGTACAAACAGCTGTAAGAAAGTATTTAGATAGAGCTGACGTCCTTCACTTATCTCGTCTCAGGTGTTTACATACAGGAAAGATCATCACTGTTGGGAATATTCATGTGGTGTGGAATAATTTTAAAAGTCCAGATGTTCAGTGTATTCAGGTACATGTAAATCTCTTCAGATTTAAATTAGACAGAACCCAATAAAACATTTATTGATGGCAATCTAATTAGTCAGTGTGTTTCAATAAGATATAGTACTATCTATCTTAAAAGTCAAGATTCAAAAGTCCATAATTACACCATGTCAACTCAGTATAAATTATTTGAATCGAGTCTACAACATACATCAAGAAATGGTAGATTGTATAATAATAGGGGTTTCAGGTCACGTGACTTTAGCGTGAAATCGGACAGCCAGAGGCTGAAATGTACCCCACTTCAATCTACGATTCTGAATTACTATTTTATGTAAATGCATTACTAGCAATTGTATTGCAATAGTTTAATATCAATCTCAATATCTGCAAAGATTCAGGCTATAAAATTATCGAAATGTAAGCGAAATTACCGTTTGTTTACATGAGACGCTCGCGGGAAAATACCGCTCTGATGTCACGCGGCCTGAGATTTTCCATTGCTACGACTCACTTCATTGGTGAATCCGCACCTTAGTTACCGGCGGATTTTGATATAGAACCAATCAAACGATAGATAACATTTTTGTGATTATTATGCTTGTTGATACCACGTGGTCCGACTATTAGACCCAGAGAAAATGAGTTTATCTGTTTAGATGACTGAAAATTGCTAAATTTCGACTAAATATAAAAAAACTTTCTTGAGGTATCATCCAGATTATAAATATGTGCCATATTATCATTCAAATTATTACGATTTTAATAAATTTTAGCTGACAATAACGTGCGGATTTCAGTTTTAAAATTGGTACTAGCGATTCTGAAGGGAAAATACCGCTTATGACGTCACTCAAATATGACTGAAAAGCACTCACTTTGGTGCCATGCCACGCATTGACTGGTATAGAGCATTTTGATTACATTATTGACGTCGATCTCGGATTTTAAAATTCCATAACTTTGGATCTAATTAGAATATTTTGATGAAATAAACAAATTTGGGTAGCATTTTATGTATATTTTCACAAAATATTTTTAATTTTTTTTTTCTGTCATTTGAAACTTTGACCTGAAACCCCTAATAATAACTGTCCTTGAATTGTTACCACATTAAACTCAATTTCGATAACTATCGTAATAATATTCATGATTTGCATTATACTAACATTCAAGGACAGTTATTATACAATCTACCATTTCTTGATGTATGTTGTAGACTTGATTGTCTTAACTAGTGAGAATTTTTGAATATTGCAACTGGGTGATGGAAAGTAGGGAAGTGGACTTTTGATTCCACTTTTCATTGGTGGTGTGTTTCTTTACCTTATATATTATCTACTGATAGAAAATCGGTTTCAGGCATGTTATTGGCCTTAGAATATGGTAATCTCTCTTACGAAGTGAATGTAAAAGACTTTAGACATTATACTAAGCCCCTGTTTAATGTTATTTTTGAAAGAGGTTTTCCATGTTACAGGCGACTGCATTATAATCAGCAGGAGACAATGGGTGATGTCACATCTTCGTTGTTTTGGTGTTGTGACTAACTTTTCCTCTTTAGACTCGGCATATATTTTCATACACACCTAAATTCCCCACACCATAACATTATATATACATGTAGTAAGTGCAGGGGGACTGCACCACACAAAATTTACACAAAAACAAATACATGGACAAGACATCATACTCAGAAAAACACGAGGAGACAAACAATTAAAAAAAATGGGTGTTTTGACTTAAGTGGAATTAGATTATAATTTGTTTTAGTGGACTAATGTGTGACATTGTATTGTAGATTGCCAGTGCTGTAAAGGAAATAGTTAGTAAAGCTGGTAATGATACATCACCATTCTTGTTCTGTGGAGATTTTAACAGTGAAATAACCAGCCCAGGATATCAACTAGCCAGGGATGGTTATCTATCAGATACTAACATACAAAAATTACAATCACTTGAAAACCTAGAAACAACTGATGGATCAGTAAGTAAAATATATCTAATCATCAGTAATTATTCTGCTCATTCTAATATTTATCAAGACATTTTTATGAATGAAAGTCTTTTAAATAAAAAAACAACCTTATATCTGTGGATGAATTGGTGGGCAATGTGGAAATTTAATTACTGGTAAGCGTTCTTAAACATACATTATGCAAGAGCTAAATCTGCCTATTGCAGGTCTCTCTTTAGGCCTGAAATGTTATCTAGATTATTAATTAGACATTAATTAACTTATCCAAACCCTAATCAACTAGCCTGGGATATTTAGTGAATTAGGATCCGATTCGCTGCCAAATGCTCATTCATGGATAATCGATACTATGTTTTTTATCGCACCGACTTTAGTAATGATGATCGAGGCTAGGCCCAAAATTCGATCGTTAAATTCTCTGTTCAGAGTAGAGCAATTTGACTGAAGTTTTCAGCAAATTCCCTTTACTTTATCTAGTTTTCCCCCACCTTTCGAAGAAAGCAGGAGACTATTAAAATGGGTTCGTCCGTCTGTCTGTCTGTCACACTTTTGGGACACAATAACTGTTCTTTTAATTGAACTAGAATGTTCAAACTTTGTGTAGTTGTTTATTAGGTCAATGTTTTGATAGAGTTCGGAGATGAGCATTTTCTGCTTAGGGTAAGCAGAGATAAGCAATTTGATTGGTTGTTGTTTTGGGACACGATAACTTTAGTTCTAATTAAGTGAGAGGGATGAAACTTGATGTATAGTTTCATTACATTAATACCTTGACTAAATTCGATAATGAGTATTTTCTGCTCAGGGTAAGCAGAGCGATAAGCAATTTGATTGACCGAGACTTTTGAACACAATAACTCTCATTCTAATTTAGCTAGAATGTTCACAGTTGGCATAGATGTTTATTAGGTGAATGCCATGATGGAGGTCGAAGATGAGAATTTTCTGCTTAGAGTATGCAGAAATAAGCAATTTGATTGGTTGATGCTTTGGGACACGATAACTTTAGTTCTAATTAAGAGAAAGTGAGGAAACTTGGTGTATAGTTTTATCACATCAATACCTTGACTAAGTTCGATAATGAGCATTTTCTATTAGGGTAAGCAGAGCATTAAGCAGTTTGATTGGTCGAGACTTTGGAACACAATAACTCTCCTTCTAATTGAGGTAGAATGTTCAAACTTGGTGTAGGCATTCATGTGAATGCCTTGATGGAGTTTGGTGATAAACATTGTCTGCTTAATGTAAGCAAGGATAAGCAATCTGATTGGTTGATGCTTTGGGGCACGATAACTTTGGTTATAATTAAGTGAGAGTGATGAAACTGAGTATAGATTCATTACATCGTTACCTTGACTAAGTGCGATGTTGAGAATTTTCTGCTTAGGCTAAGGAGCGATAAACAATTTGATTGGTCAAGACTTTGGAACAAAATAACTCTGCTTTTAATTAAGGTAGAATGTTTAAACTTGATGTAGATGTTCATTAGGTGAATGTCTTGACTGAGTTCAGTGAGTAACATTTCGAGCTAAAGCTAAGCAGAACTAAGCAATTTCATTGGTTGATGCTTTGAGAAAAGATAACTTTGATTCTATCTGATAGAGAGTGATGAAACTTAGTGTATAGTTGATAAACAGTTTGATTGCTTGATACTTTTGAAAAAATAAATGTGTGACTCATTAATATGTGTCATCTATTTATTTTGGGATTTCGGCGGGGGACATCAGCCTCACTGTTGGCTTGTCTTTAACTATTATAATGAGAACTGCCAGCTCTTTATCTAATCTCCCATAATGTATCTTTAAGCTTTTAGCTTGAAATAAAATGTTATTTTCTTTTAGAAGTCTTTGCTGAATCATTTATGGAGAGCATTCCAGCACACAGCTTCAAATTTGAAGAGTGCTTACTGTACTGTCCAGGTAAGAAAAATAAACTAATCTTACAGATGGTTCCATTAAAAGCCAGGGAAAATATAGTTCCAATTGCTGGTTTGATTGAACTGATAAATCAGTGAGTGCATAACTAAAGATAGATATATAATGGAGACTTTTGGCAATCGTAAAGTTCTGGTCCCTATCGCGTGTCCGTATTGATTTTGCGTGTGACATCATCATTGCATGTGTATTTCTCATACGTGATACGGCACACAGATACGGTAGCATGTATCGAACAGCTTTCATACGGAAAAGGTCCGTATAACATCGTCGTCTATTTTACCGTATTTTTTGCTACTTTTAGATGCTGAAACGTTGTGCTGTGGCGTTTTTATGAATCTATGTGTATCCTAGAACACAAAGGTGTATGTTTGACGTGATTTTAACCATGATAAAGACTGGAATTTAATCATTAATCTACGTGCTAAATTTAGGGAGGTGGGACCGTGCAATCTGTAAAAAGGGTATATAATTTCTGAAATGATACATTAGTGAAACCAAAAATTGTTGTTGAAGTCAAAGATTTTTAATAAGATTCGACACTAAATTTTAAAATAAAATTTAAATAGCTCAGCGACTGTTGAGCGACTTTGCTCCCTTCAGGAATTTGTAGGCCAGGCACTTGACTAGTACTGATGTTTATCTTAGTAGATAACTGCCATCATGCTGTAATAGAACTAAGCTCAGCTCAGCTACTCATACATACGCAGCGCGAAAATCTGCCAAAACTCTAAAACTACATTGACATGTGACGATACAGATACATGATATGGATGGAAAAAATTCCGCTTGCCAAAAGTCTCTAATAAAAGGCATGATTTCTTACAAGCCTATTTGGATTTACACCAATAATGATATGCTATCATATTTATCTTTATAATTTCAGGGTCAAGAACCAACTCTCACATCATTTACAGCCTTTATGCATTCTGCTGTAGATTATATTTTCTACAATGGCAATAGTTTAAATGTAGATGGCGTCTTACAAGTGGTACATGAACAAGTGATTGAAAAGACATGTGGCATGCCCACTGCTCAGTTCCCTTCAGATCATGTCTCATTAAAAGCTGTGTTCAATTTCAAGGAATAAGTACAGGTACATGGATCTCATATTATAATGTACAGAAAATAAAAGAACCCTTTTCAGAAAATGTTTAATGATGCAATATTTGATTTTAATTGTTGCATGTCTTGAATTCATGTTTTCCTCGTAACAATTCATCATATTCAGCTGATATTTCATTATGATATATTACTATGAATATAAAAAATTTCTTAGCTTTCAAATAATTTCTGTTGAAAGCTTATTACTTGTATATACAGAGAATTTGCCTGGCAACCTATCTTTAGATTTTACTGATTATTGTATTTTAAAACATTATGAGATCTTTCTGTTTAATTTCAGGTTAATTAATACTTGAGGAACATTAGGAGTTGATGCTATGTGTTTCTACTGTAAGAAAAAATACTAGAAAAATTTCATTCATTTAAACCACCTATAAATAATCATATTATCATTTTAATCACCAACACATAAAATGTGCAGTATATATTATATATAATATATTATAGAATATATTCACAGCTATTGTTTAGTTTTGTCTAATTTTAACTAAGTGGTGGCGTCGACTGATTTAGACACTGTTTATTGCTCCTAACTTTGTTTCATTTTGCTTTTTTTAATTGAATGTTAAAAGCTTTTTAGCAATAAGAATATATTTTATGTGTATGACTTTGTTAATTGTTTCTGCATTGATTATAATTGTTTAATATCTTGTTTATGGTTCAATTATATTGCATATTTATGTTGTATACTGTTGTATTATTATATAAAAAATATGCTTTTTAAATTTCACTTAATTATGCCTAATACAGAAATTGTAAATAATTATTATTGTACAACAGTCAAAATCGATCGAAAATAAAATTTATTGGCAAGAGATGGATGTTACTTTTACTTCTGGTTATTTATGTGTGAAAAATGGAGAGAATATTTGTGCTAGGGAAATTTGTGGCATGTAAATCAATGTGATTGGATATGCTAGATATGTTTAGGTAGAATAGTGTTGCTATCAGTGTGAGCTGTTCAGCCTGCATACAGTAGTTGACAGTTGAAAGAATCGTCCTCTAGTTACCTGCCACTTTGCACAATGTTAACAAAGTTGCATATATCCCATATATATTAATGTAATTGACATCGGAATGTGACCAAGGACAGATTTCTCTGTTATTTTTATACAACCACATTTCGTGTGGAAGGGTGTTGTCATTATCTTCATCCCTCCACAAGTCCTTGTGTCCTCTCTTCACAACTGAGTGTTTACAGATCTTTTCGAAATTCTCAAGGATTATAAAGAACACCGCTATCCAAACTCATCTTGTGGAGTTACGCCAACCGTTTCGTAGAGTGTTTTGCAAGGATTGTTGGTTGGGCTACATATATATGGAACACCTATATCCAAACTCATATGCCAAACTGTTTATATCCAAATTTACTAAATCTTGTGCATGCGATAGAAGTCAGAGTTCTTTGATCAAATTTTTATGAACCCATGTGTTCTGTTGTAGCACATGTTCATCAACATTTGGCTTGTTTATAATACTTAATAGAGGAATGCACTGTTTTGTTCAGTATTCTGGGATCATTGCTATAGGATCTACCATAGATAGACTAATTATTATAATTGTATAAGACAGTTGCCTTCATATGTTTAGTGGGTCTGTCTGGGCTGTGTGTAGAACATTAGGTTAATTAGGAGCCCAGGAAAACAACTGGGTCTGTGACGTTATATGTCTGGTGATCCATATTTGGTCACAGTCTTTGGCACACATCATTAGTCACTTCCCCACGCCGAGTTAAGTCTTACAAAAATGGCGTGCATGTTGATATTGTGGTTGATAGTACCTCAATGGTTCCCACTAGTTAGTCTATGACACATTCATTATCTCCTTTACAAGAAACTCTGCGGTTGAGGTTCTTTAGTCATCGTGCAGCATTCCTAAAGACTTACCATTAGCCACCCGATTATGTAGATCCTTAGAGCACCTTTAGAGTCCAGTGGATCTTAAACTCTTTAAGATTACAGCTCGTGTAATGGCTTATCTGTACTTGTAGGTTCTTTTTTTTATGGTTTTATAAACAAGGTATTGGAAGAATATGGTTTCCAGAGTTTTAACTATGTAAACGTACACAACATGAAGTATAAGAGGTAGAAACCAGGTTCGCATGGTGGTCTCCTGGAATTTTCACACTAATACATTTTGCATCCCCTACCACTGTTCACCTTCCCTCTCCTGGGCAAGGTGACACAGTTGTCCAGGGTGCACCCAACACACCTATTTAGCGATGTACAGTATTAGGAATCAAAATTTTCGAGTCGCAAAGCAGTGAGTAGTGACGTCGCTTACTTCTGCTTAGACTCAAAAGAAAGTGCTCATCATGGAACTCAGTCAAGGCTATAACCCTATAAACACCTACACCAAGTTTGAACATTCCAGCTCAATTAAACGTTATTGTGTTCCACACTATGGGTCAACAGAAAGACTGCTGCTTTCTTCGGACAATTAATGATACAACAGAAGTTCAATTATAGAACTTTTATACATTTATTATCAATTGATTGAATTTTGTCAAAGATGCATTATGTAAGAGCTAAATTGGTCTATTGCATGTCTCTTTTTTAGCTTCAAATGTTATATAAATTATTGTTTAGACATTTTTTAACAAGTCTGTAGTAATCAACTCTTTAGATCATTGGATGGCTGAGATTTTACGATAAAAAAATACAATTGAGGCAAAGTCTCTGTTGTCAACTATTATTGCCACGATAATGATAATGATATAAATAATTTATATTTAGAGTTTCATCACTCTCACCTCATTATAACCAAAGTTATCGTGCCCCTAAAGCATCAACCAATCAGATTGTTTATCTCTGCCTACCATAAGCAGACAATATTCATCATCGAACTCCATCAAGGGATTCACTTAATGAATGCCTACACCAAGTTTGAACATTCTAGTTCAATTAGAAGGAAAGTTATTGTGTCTCGAACAATCAAATTGCTTATCGCTCTGCTTACCCTCAACAGAAAATGTTCATTATCGAACTTAGTCAAGGTATTGATGTAATAAAGCTATACACCAAGTGTCCTCACTCTCACTTAATTAGAACTAAAGTTATCGTGTCCCAAAGCATCAACCAATCAAATTGCTTATCTCTGTTTACCCTATATAATTGACCTAATAAACACCAACACCAAGTTTGAACATTCTAGCTGAATTAGAAGGAGAGTTATTGTGTTCCAAAATCTTGGCCAATCAAATTGCTTATCGCTCTGTTTACCCTGAGCAGAAAATGCTCATTATCAAACTTAGTCAAGGTATTGATGTAATGAAACTATACACCAAGTTCCATTACTCTCACTTAATTAGAACTAAAGTTATCATGTTCCAAAGCATCAACCAATCAAATTGCTTATCTCCGCTTAACCTAAGCGGAAAATGCTCATCTTCAAATCCATCAAGGTATTGACCTAATAAACACCAACACCAAGTTTGAACATTCTAGTGCAATTAGAAAGAGTTATTGTGTCCCAAAAAGAGTGACAGACAGACAGACGGACGAACCCATTTTAATAGTCCCCTGCTTTCTACGAAAGTCGGGGGACAATAACTATTGGTTTATTGGTAGTGACCAGTTAATTTACAAATACATCACATTTTGCAAAGAGAGTGCACTGAAAAGGCTGTTTTGGGGCTTTGTGCTATCTGACCATACTGACCTAGTAGTGGTTACCATAAAAACTACATCACTATTTGTAAAGAACATTTTATAATCCATTAGATGCCATACCATGAAAAATACATGAGAGAGAGAGAAATGGGGTTTAACGTCCACTCGACACAAACTAGGTCATTTTGGGACTAACATATGGTTTAATTATATTTCAATAATTTGCTTGCGCGTAGGGGTCTTTCGCAGTGGGAGAAAACCCACGAGGTTGGACAGGCGACCCTACTCCTTGTCACATACAACCGGGGATTAGAAACCACGCCAGTTGACTCAATGACAGGCTTTATGATACAGTGTGCACACGCTAACCATTCAGCCATCCAACCCCCCTGAAAAAATACATACTTGATTAAGTGGGCTTAAGGGAACAAGCCCAAAATAAACGCTACACTTAATGATTAGGGTGTAAGACATGTAACAACTAGACCCATCGAATGTAGTTGTCTTAACATTAACCAGTCATATTTACAGAATACTTGCATTATTCTTGATTAAGTAATGATTACTACAGAATAATAAGGAATACACACATATAAATCGAACAATAATAATAATAATAATTTCATATAAAACATTACAATTGCAGTCTGCATCTAAATTTTAATGAAACAAGTTCCGAAAAATACTTTTTAAAATACCATACAATAGTGAACAAAATTATCAAAGATAATAAGCATTGTAAGACCACACCCAAAAAATATTTTGGTTCTCAGATACCGCGGCGGCATCAAAAATGGGCTAGACATATTCCACAAGTCATGTCAAACGGTGACGCCATATTCTTATCTGGAGAGCATGGGCAATAAATACTATTGGTGTAGACTGGAATAACCAGATGCTAGAGATTGCCATGTGATTGAGACTTCTGGCGTATTTTGCTGAACATAACTAATTTGAAATCAAGAGTAAAAACGGAAATGACTGAATATAAATCAGTTTATATACATTCATATTACATTATATTATATGCCTTGAGACCCATTTGTGTCAATTTCTAGGTCCACAATATTAGCAATTTAGCTCTTAAAAATGAAAAACGAGCTAGATTTAGACAAAATAAAAACAAAACAGCAAAAAAAACCCCCAAAAACGCCCTCCCGCATCAATTTTTTAAAAAGGATTGTCCAAGAACCAGAATATTTTTTTTGTGTGGCCTAGTTATATATTATTTTCATATGTTTTTGCAATGAAAATTTCCATTCTATTGGGGAACAATTTTCAAATCGATGTAATTATACAATTATGCCGAGTGCACACTATAATAATAAATCTCCAAATATAGACAATATACTGAGGCGCACGGAAAGGGCACATGTTGTTTAAGTGTAGGCTAAGATTGTAAATCTTTGAGAGATATACACTTTATGATTCTTGCAATTCTGAATTTAAAAACATTGATGACGATCATAACTTGTGAGAAGGACATTTTTATGATCGGATGAAAGCATCACCTATCAATTTTCTCAAGAACAAAAAAATTGAAATGTTAAAAATCACCATTTTATGATACAGATATGGTGTATAAAATGTGGCTTTTTAAAAGCTAGCATCAGTGCAACTCCTACAGCTTTGTGGACAATCCAATGATATGTCAAGTTACACCTGAACCCAGAGAATGTGCCTGTGTAAAGTAAACTTGTGGTGACTCCCTTGGGTTGTTGTTTATTTTCTTGTGTCTGTAATAAATGTCCAGTATACAATCATGCCAACCAAAATTCATATTTCAGCTCCATCATTATGCCTATGTCTCTCTAGCACTTCTCGTCAAATCTGTGGTGTATTTCATTGGGTCTCAGTATATTTTAGATTAACTATAATGCAGTGATTAATTATACTATCGTGTATTATTATAAGCAGAAGCATATGAGCAGGACAGTTGTCTCCTGGGCAGTTTTCCTAGGTTCCAGAAGCACAAATTAATAAATAAGCTAAATAATTATGTTATTTCTTAAAAATAAAACAAAAAACAGATAAAATATTTATACACATCTAAGCAAATACATGCACATTATTTACTTTGAAATACCACAATAAAAAATATTTTTTAATGTATAATAGTTGCAACTATTCAAAACAGGTTATCTTAAATTTATTTAACCATTTCTTTCTAAGAGATGCATTGCAGGATTCTTAAACTGTCTCTTATATATTTTATAGCAATTATTACAAAATCCCTCACAACTGGCATTGCCATAATTATTACAATTACTAGCTTTACACAGTTTACTTACTTTCCTTGAACCCTCAACTCTTTGGATGCTTTCAAGAAATGACTGGCTCTGAGAAGGATTGGGAACAAAGCCATATCCTTCTTGAACAGGAATTGAGGGTTGTTGACCAATATGTAAATTACTTGCTCCAACAATTGGTGCTGAGAGTGGGTGATTCAGGTTATAGCAGTGAGTACACATTCCATTTAAGGTTGGGTCTCCATATCTAACACATGCCTCTACTATGCATGATGGTTGAGACCTTCTGATAAATGGTGAAGTATTTCGTTTTTCGACCAGTTGCTCTTCAACTGGGTACATATTCCGTCTGGCAATTGGAGCACTGTTTACTTTTCTGGCTGCTGGAAAAACAAGTCACTAAACTACATCATATTTTCTATGCGGGTATTTGATTGGGAATGTATTATAGAAAGTTAAAAAACAATGAGTGGGGCATGATTTTCAACCCCTCAGTGATCAGTTAATATCATATTGCATAGATATTTGTCAACTCAATTTATCCATAAACCAACTAACAAATTATATTTTTAAGGATGAGATAAACTGATATTTAATTTTAACTCTACACAGTTGCACACAGGGCACTTTATAGCAGTGGGAGAAAACTTGAGAAATCTACAAACACTAGTTCATAAAGTCTCCAATTCAAATTTGACTAAATCTACTTGACTAAATCTACAAATACAATTTGATTTTGTACAAATACAATTTGATTTTGTACAAATACAATTTGATTTTGTACAAATACAATTTGATTTTGTACAAATACAATTTGATTTTGTACAAATACAATTTGATTTTGTACAAATACAATTTGACTAATTCTGCAAATCCAACATCCTGAATATTACTTACGTGACCGATGCTTAAAACAGCTAGAACAATAGCCACCGAATTCTGGTGCTCCATGGAATTTACAATTAACAGTTTTACAGCCTGAAAAAAACCCCATTAAACCTTATTATTTGTAAAAAGTAATCATTTCAATAAAAAAAATCATAACAAAAAATCCAGTTCGGTGTAAAGGTCATTATATAAAAATAAAATATAAATGCCATTGTGCATTTTTTGCCATAAAAACAACTTTTACACCAGGTGCAATTAAAGACTCACAAAAATAGCAAAAAATATTTGATGGGAAAATACTACAAAGTACGATATCATTATCATTCAGCAGCCTCTACTTTTGAAACTGATTTTCAACTCATCCTGAAATTGCAAAGTTTACTATTACCTGCTGATTTTCCTGCTTGATTTTTACGTAAGACATCTAAACAGGATTGACAGAGTTTAGCTGGAGGATAAACTGGATTATCGCACATTGGGCTGGCACATTGTGTAGATGCGTCATCCATGCACGATACTTGTTTGGGTTCTACAATTGCGTTAGTTGGGGTGCTAGATTCAACAACGTTTTCTTCCATATTACCCACATTCTGCCCAAATTCTTGTATAGAGGTAGCAGCATGTTCTGTGTTCCGTGATGCATTTTGTCTCTGTGTACTTGTTTTCTTGGCATCTGCTTTATCAAAGCATTTAAAGCACATATCAAAGACATTCTTTTGTCGAATTCCTTCACAGCCTGGTGTGCTACAGATATGTTTACGTGAAATATGATGCCCGCTTGAGGCTGAATTACCAGTAGCTTCCATCATCTCAAATTGTCTGCCAATCATTTCTTCAATCGGTTGCTGGGAAGTGTTTGCTGCAGCATGTTTCCCAGAACCACATTCCACATAGCATTTACTACATTTGCCACTTTGCCCTGGTGAACCTTTACCTCTACATCCTTGAGTTATACATTCCTGAAGAATATTTTGCACCTTTCCTTTTCTTTGATTTGTTTGGTGTCTGGTCAATTGTTCAGTGCTTTCACCAGAGCCAAACAATTCAGTGTCGCCACTGGAAGATGAGCTGTTACCAACATAGATAGGTGTCTCCATTTCGACACTTAGTCGCCTTTTTTCTTCTGTGTTTGAAGAATTCTGGGAAACTTGTCTGTTTGGTAGGAGGTGGTTATAGCATTCATGACAATAGGGTGAAGTGTCTGTAGAGGCATGGAATCTACAGTCTGGCCCCTGACATGTTTCAGTCATCATAGTTGGATGTTGAAAGGTTTGTGTGAGAGGAAATGATGGTGGTGGGGCTGAAGGATCTTGGGGAATATAATAAATTGAAGGTGGGCCTGCATTTTCTTCTGTGTATCGCTTTAAACATGTACTACACATATTACCCGTGGCAGCAGAACCATACATTCTACAGCCTGGTGTGATACATTTTCTATTCTGGAAATAATGCATTGTCTCTGGCGAAGGACTGCCATCACCAATTCCATAGTAACGAGTTTGACGACTGCCTGAGCTAACACGTACATTGGGCAAGTTACTGCTTGGCACAGTTCTTGGTGTCTCATTGGACTGCATCATGTTATTTAATGGGGAAGTTCTTGATTGAGCAGCTTCCTGCCGAAATGGTGGTAATTCTATTGGATATGCTTCCTCCCCATTTAAAAATGCACGGTATTTTCGCTCACAATCTCGAAAGTAGTCATCAACTACACTAAGGTCTTCTGATAAACCTTGTGAACCAATCTTAGCACTAGAAATGGGTATTGTATTTCCTCCAGAAGTGTGATCTATTTCAATAAGATTAAGGTATATGCTAAGGAGATTTGCAACTTCTGGTTCTTCATCAATGCTCAAAAATTTGAGTGGTAGTTGAGACAAGTCAGACTTTAGTAGAGGAAGAATTGGTTTTTGGGAGCTTGAAGCACTTTCTTTACAATTGATCAAGGGACAAAAATGACTCAGAGTAAAGCCTAATATGATTGGAAACTTGCAACAACTCTCTGGTGGAACATTCAAAGGAAGATAAATACCACCAATATCATTTTCTTGCATACTCATTCTCTCCCCAAATGTACGAATTTTCTCATCGGCCATTACAACTATAGGTCTTCGAAGGATATTTGCCATTACATAAATGTGTATGGGTTCAAGAAATAAATGAGGATTTCCAAAACTTGCATTTTCTTTAGATTTGGCGCTGTCTACAATATACTGCCATTCCATATTCCAGTTCTGAAGAAAAAAATGCACAATAGGTCATTGCCAGTTATTAATGGGCCTACAGTGTATTTCATATTTTCTGCCCAAATGTTTAATATGATTGAAACTAATGAAACATGAATTCCAACTGCAATGAAATACTTCTGCCCACACTGCCATGCTAGACTGATTAGTAAATTTAGTTCCGTACAAGACAATTTAGTAATTAGTCAAAATAGGGAGAATTAAATCAATCTGTTTGGCTTTTGGAAGTTCTGATCAGTACATATAGAGAGTGTTCAATGTTAAGTGTCAATGACAACAACTATACAATGTGTAATCATCCTTGTCTCTGAATTTAGATCTACTTCTTTATTGTAGCTCTGATAAAAAGAACCATATGACATATGTAGTTTCAAACAAAAATCTTGATCACTCTGAATTTTAGAGAATGCAATGGCTGAACCTGGATGATAGATGCACATTAAAACAAAGGACTCACCTCTTCAGTAAACCGAATAAGATCAGACCATACTTGACTTTGTTTATATCTTATGAATCGATATTTAAACAAATTGTTGGGGTCATTTACTAAAGTAGTATGTAAAAGACGTCTTAATATTAGACCAGTATCTTGTATTCCCCATATATATGTTGATATAGCATGTAATAAACAATTACCATCCCCTGTAAAATATAACACTTAATATTTAATTTCTTACAAAAGAGAAACAGGGGGGGCGCGAAGACAACACAAACTAGGATATTTCAACTTTTGGGGAACATATGGTAAATGTGCATTCAACAATTGGCTTGTGCATGAGGATCTGGGGGGTTGGATGGCTGAATGGTTAGCGTGTGCACGCTCTCTCTCGCATCAGGATCTTTAGCAGAGGGAGGAAACTAGAGAAGATGGAGAAGACTCAGAAGGCTAGGCAGGCAACCCTACTCCGTATTACGATGACCGAGAGTTAGAAACCACAACACGACTCAATAACCACTCATTCACCAAACCCCTGTATAAGAAAATATTCAGACTGCAGGGCATATGCTGAGGTGAAGAACTAAGCCTGTGTTATACTAGGTTATATTACTGAGGCCCTTGTATATTACACACAAGAGTTCACTATACTGTTAGCTTTCTTGAACTGAGTCGCATATACTGAAACTACTTTATAACAAACCCAAATATAAGTGTATTAGCACAGCAATACTATTATTTGATAATACTATATTTAATTTTAACATCAAACAAAAATTTTAAATTCATACATTAAACTGTTGGGTTTGGCATAAAATGTTGAAAAATGAAATGATCTATAGAAATTATAGTCGGGATGTCAAATGCCATATTATCACTGAACCCACTTTTGCCTGATATATAATGTTTCTCGGTGGATTATTGTTGGGTAGAGTCTCTTTGATTTTTCCAGGGTGGGTGTGGTCGTGTCACCCTTGGGGAAAATTGAATATTCAAGATGGCGGCCAAAAATGGTGGGAAAAATACAAAAAAAATCATTTTTCACCATCCTAGGTCGTGTAATATATCATTTTTCACCATCCTAGGTCGAGTAATATATCATATTATATGTTTTCGGGGTCGCTAAACACGAAATCGGGCATATTTTTAACATATCCAACTTATTCCGAGCAATATTATTAAAATGACGGCCCAAAATGGCAGCGGAAGTACAAGAATTCCATATTTCGCCCTACTAACGCGAATTTGGATATGTTTTTAACATAAGACCCATCATGAAGACGGAAAATAGAATATGAAATTCTTGTACTTCCGCCGCCATTTTGAATATCTTTGTCCGAATAGGTCGGATGTTAAAAATATGCCCGATTTCATGTTCCGCGACCCCGAAAACATATAAAACGATATATTACACGACCTAGGATGGTGAAAAATGATTTTTTTTGTATTTTTCTCATCATTTTTGGCCGCCATCATGAATATTTAATTTTCCCCAATGGCGACACGACCACACCCACCCTGGAAAAATCAAGGGGACCCTACCCAACAATAATCCACCGAGAAACATTACATATCAAACAAAAGTGGGCTCTCGGCCCTGGCGTCCGGACTATGTAATATTGTAAATGGTATTCTTACTCAACAGATGAAAATAAACTGACCCTACTGATATCGCTTCAAATTTGCATTACAATAATACAATTATCTGACATGCTTACTTAATGTATTAAGAGGATACAATGACTGTGATATTCTACACCAGTTGATAACTTTAGACTGCTCAAGGTCTACTTTCATATCGCAGTCAATCACAGCTTTTTCTATCATCACTCGAAACTCATCGTGCCAACTTCTTAAGCTTGGTAGAATGGTGGTAAAGAAACTGAAGTTTACAATTGTTAAAAATCTGGTATAATCCACATTTTCCAGAATTTTCTTCTTTATCTTCTTCACTTTCTCAGAATTACTATCTTCTAATCTTTTGAATAAGGGCTCCATTTTCTTTAATCTTGAACTAAAAACATTTCACATATGATCATAAGCAATTTACATTTATATAAAGAAGACACGACACAATATTCCAGATATCCTTGCAAATACAATAATAATATTAATAATAAGTAATATTCCATTTATATCAAGTCAAATCCCAAATATGTGCTCATAGCACATAAAGCTGATGGCTGGACTTTCAAACCATACATATACACAATTAAGATAAGTCATATTAAATAACATGCCAGTCAAAACGAAATTCATTGGGGGAGGCTTTCAGTAGCAAGCCTGAATTTTTAAACTGAGGATTGTTTTTGTGTTTTTTAGCAGAAATGTCCTAAACCAAACATTTGTCTTTGCTTTTAGTTAAAATGGTCAAAGATTGGTCATATGGCCATAATATTAATAACAATCAAAATAACCAATTAAATATTTGTTAGTTAAAGGAGCTCAATCGCTAATATTTGGGACCTAGAAATTGACACAAATGGGTCGCAACGCATATAATAATGTAATATGAATGTATATAAACTAATTTATATTCAATCGTTTCTGTTTTTACTCTAATTTCAAATCAGTTATGTTTTGCAAAATACGCCAGAAGTGTCAATCAAATGTCTATCTTTAGCATCTACACCGATACTATTTATTGCGCATGCTTTCCAGATAAGAATATGGCTTCACCGTTTGACATATGACTTGTGGAATATGTCTAGCCTCGTTCTTTGAGTCTCTTATTACAAATGGCACTGAAACTCATTATGGTACCAATGGTAAAATGTTTATTTTGTCTTAAATATTGGATATCAGAAGCCCATCTTTTCAAGATACGATAACAACACCAATGTTGATTTAAATTGACAAATAACTCGTGTTTTCGATGTCGTAGACTTTGGATGATACTGAGTTAGAGACTTAGCTACTTTAATATGAGTCCAATTATAATGTAAGCTTGCATTTACAAAAATATTGACCATTCTACATTGCAGTTTTGACCATTTAGCCTACATCGCAGTTTTGACCATTTTTTTGTAATACTGATAGGATTTGAAATAAATGGTGGATTTGGGTGGATTGGGGTAGTTTTGGGTAAATCGTGCTAGCCCTAAAGAAATGAAATAAAATGGGGTTTAACGTCCTACTGTTCTGCTCCTATGCTGGGCTAATGAAGACGGGCATACGCCATACAGTGTGCTATGAGGGAAATTTTGCCCGGGCACTATCGCCTACTCTTATATCGAATTCCAACTGCCAAGGGATCTTTTACGTATATTCCAATGTATACATGGGACCTCGGTTTTTCGTCTCATCCAAAGGACTAGACAGCAGTCCTTGTCAGGCCCTCCGTCCTGCATGCAGGGATCGAACACCCGACCTCCAGGCTAGCGAGCCTGCGTCTTAACCACTTAGCCATGTGATCCCCAGCACTAAAGAAAATGACACATATTACAATTCCAATTAAATTTAAATTTTAAACTAAATCAACGACGAGCGTTAACCCGTGCGAGAAGTTTAAGACCTCTGTAGCCTATATAGCTACTTCAGCCCTTGGTTGGTTGTTGATTCCCATCTTACATATAATTTCAAAATTTGGTTACATCTTAATTCAGATACTCATGGAAAATAATTACTGATTAACTTTAACTTAATTTATACTTATTCCTGTGGTTTATAATTTGACTAGGCCAATATTCCTAGCCGAAAACTTAAATAATAAAAGAAACGCCAAACGGGGAAATCCCGTATTTTGCCCCAATCAGGATTGCCGTGAATTACGTGATTGAACTTGATTATTGAAGTTATAATTTTGAACCTTGAATAAAAAAGATAGAAAATAACCTATGTGACATTTTCTGATTACAAATTATACTCACAAAATAATTAAATCTAACCACTGTTAAAATAAAACATTCAGTTGACTTGCCTTTGAAAGGGGAAAACCCTTTTGTCGCTAGACCAGGCGATTGGGTGAAAAGTGTTGTCTTGATTGTCATGACGCTGTGAAGTTCAAACCAGATAAAATCACCAGGAAGTTAATTCTGGCAAACACAGGTCTTTGATTCTAATTGCGTTTTGTATGATGATTAAATTTATGGTTAAAGTATTGTTGGTGTCTGCACATCTTTAACATGTGACTTTACGACATAATGCTTATAAGATTAGAAGAAATTATCCCTTCAACTCTCAAACAGAATGAAATGTTATGTTACTAGTAGAAGTAACTGGGTATCATAATCTAAAGGACCTCGACATTGGCGTCATACCGTGACCTCTATAGTACATGCGCAGTTATGGGAATTCCACATTGAGCAATGCCAATAGTGAATCAACATTCACAAAAGCAAGAAGGATCGGATTTTTGTCGCACGAATTTAGTGTTGCAATATTCACAGTAAAAGGTAATTTATTAAACAATGTTCAGTTCAAGACGACGACGAAGTTCGGGGAAAGCAAAAAAAAAAACAAACAAAAAAACCCCGACGATAGACTCTTATAGTTATACTAGTTACTAATCTTCAAAAAGTTGGGGATATTCAGAAACAATACAGTTACTGCGGAAATGCACTGTTGTTTTTATTAGGCCTAGCGGTAGCCAGTGTATGTTAATAACAGGCCAGTTGCCTACACATGAACATAAACAGTTCATACGGGCGGCTTATCTGACGGCCCCATTTCACTCGCAAAGCGATACACCGTCACCATACTCAAAGAAAATAAAATTAAATGAATATAATTAATTCACATTAAATTATATTTTAAAAAATATTGTAAAGACCTGCACTACCAGTAGAAATCTCAGTTCTCGAACAATACATCTTCTAAAATCTCCAAATATTAACTTACAATTTGGAAAATGTGCTTTGTCCTATACTAGAACTTTTCTGTGGAATAAACTACCAAAGCCAGTTATTGTCAAAACAATAGGGGAAAAGATAGATAAGAGTGAGAAAACGATAAATGTGATTTTACGCCCACTCGACACAAACTATAATTCGCTTGTACTTGTACATAAGGTCTTTAGCTTTGGGAGGAAACCAGTGGACGAGGTACAAGCGGGGAATCGAAACCAAGCCACTTGACTCAATGACAGAACTTATGATCTAAAGTGCATGCATTAACCAATGGGCCACCCAACCCCCCTCTTACCCAAAGAACAATAAAATTAAATAAATACTAGTATTTGTTACGTGGTAAATCACATAAACCCAGAACATTAGCTGACTATATTGGGGCATTTGCCGTGACCAAAGGCTATGCATTTTAATTTTATATAAAATAAAAAAAAAAACTATTGGAAGACGACGGATGTATCAAATTGTTTGTTCCTCTATTTTGATATCTATACTTGGTTTAATGGCGTATCAATTACATTCGCTTTCGCTTTGTCGTCTCTGAATTATTAAAATTCAAATGTATCCATTGATGCTTAACAGATGATTGTGTAAAGGTATGTTGTATTATTAATATAGCATGACATGGTGATCAATCAGAGAAAGTAAAAGATGCATTAGGTAAGATTTAGATAAAGAGCGGACAGTTCTTGCAATAATAGTTTAAACATACATTATGCAAGAGCTAAATCTGCCTTTTGCAGGTCTTTCTTTAGGCCTGAAATGTTATAACACAGTTCAACTTTCAGTGAATGTAGCTCAACGATGTGTTTTCTCTAAGTATAGGAAATGAATACCTGCAGATTCTTGGAATGGATCATCAACACTTTATTTCAGGAGCAAATAATTAACAGCAACAATTTAACAACTTATAATTTCCTATATATCGGACCTCCAACTAGTATATAGGTTCCCTAAGCTGGTCTCTCCAACTAATGAATCATCTTACATACATTTGTCTAATTATACAAATTAGTTACTTAGAAAGTGTTGACATAAACATATAATTATTGAAGAACCCAAGAATTCGAAGTTGCTGGACAATTCTTCCACTGAATGAGATATTCTTGTTTTGTGTTCTTAACTCTTTGTCTAAGCACTTTGTCGGACACTTCTACGGGTGGATTTGTTGAACAAATTTCTACATAAAGATGGTCTTGACTGCTGGTACTTTTGGCACTAGAACTTGAAACATCTTTCATCACTGCCTCACTGTCAAAATTTATTTGACATCCTTTATCATGGCTATTGGCAGGATGACACATTGTTTCTCTTGTTACCATTAATACAGGGTTATTCCCAACAGTCACATCTATAGTGTCAGGAACATTTTGAACACCCACATCCTTTTTACTGGAGACCACAGAAATCTGTACTTTTTGGGCATCCTTCTTCGCAAAAAATTCTAGCTGTCGCTGTCTATCCCTTTGTCTTTTGGCAAAAGAACAATATTTCTTCCCCGGACTGGGTAATCAATTTTCTGAGAAGCCCCATTTTTAGTTATATAAACCATTAATTAGACATTTATTAACAAAACAAGATAATAATCAAATCTCAATTGCATCGGATACTCAAGATTTTAACAAGATTAGAACGGTTCGCCATTTTAAAATTCAATTTAACATTGGGAAAGCGAGGCTAAGTCTCCTGGTTACCACTATGCACACATCTTGTCAAAACTACAAACAGTGATTTGGCTCAGAATGAAGTAATTTGAATGAAATTTTCAATATTTTCATTTTACATTATCTATTTTTGAGCTATAATTTATAGCAAGAATGGTCAGCTCTTTATCTATGAATGTATTTAAACTGAATTACATTCAACCGTTTCTGTTTTTAATGTAATTTCTAAACAGTTATGTTCGCCGAAATATGCCAGAAGTCTCAATCGAATGGCAATTTCTAGCGTCTGGTTATTCTAGTCTACACCGATAATATTTATTGCGCATGCTCTCCAGATAAGAATATGATGTCACCGTTTGACATGACTTGTGGAATATGCCTAGCCTCGTTTTTCGAGTCCCTTATGACAAATAGCGCTGAAACACATTATGGTAGGCTACACGATTCGTGTACCATTGGTAAATTGTTTATTTTGTCTTAAATACTGAATATCAGAAACCAATCTTTTCCTGGTAAGATCATAGCATTAATGTTGATTTAAATTGACAAATAATTCGTGTTTTCAATGTCGAAGATTTTGGATGATATCGAGTTAGAGACTTAGCTACTTTAAAGTCATATCATTAAAAAAACAACTGTAGATAGACCCTTCATGTAAATGGTTGAAATAATCTAAATTTAATGTCATTTTCATAAATATGAATTTTATACAAAAACTTAATTTAGACATATCATGCAAAATTCATGTAGGGCCTATCTAATGGTTATTTCTATTTTTTTGTTCGGCTGTTGTGAACTAAAAAATCATTCATCATGAATCTCTTTTAATTTAAGCTTATTTAAGTAATTAAAATTTGTTGATTAAGGCAATTAAGCCTACTTCTATCACGTGTGATGTTCTAACGCAAAACTATAAATATCTACACCACCAATAAAAACTGAATCCCTGTCATTTAATAAGGATGGTAATCTGTCATTAGGAGAACGTTGTCTTATAAGCCTAGACATTTCACCATTTTATGATAATTTTTCAAGAAGAAACAGTAAGCTTTTTAACTGTCAAAATGTCAAACAGGAAGTAAACAAATGAGAAAAATCTGCCTGTTTATAAGGGAAGTAACTCTCATTATGCTAGGAACGTTGCATTCAGCTTAGTGTTTTTGTCAACAAAAGTCGCAGTGGGTACTTAACGGTAACGTTATAGGTGTCAACAAAAGTCGCTGTGGGTCAGTTAAGAGTTCAGGAAACAGTCATGTACCCTATGTACAAAGCTTAGTATTTTTCATCTGATTTGTTTTTGTTGTTGAAAAAATGCAAGAAATACTACAGGATACAAGCAAACACAATTGATCTACAATATAGGCTAACCTTAATTAAATTAAGTGTACAATGTCAGTTTTATTAAGTTTCATAAAATCTGATCATATTGAGTGTAACATGTAAACTTACATATTTTTTGTCTTGTATCATTTCAGATGAATGCTGTGGTGATCATTGAGAATATATTATATGCTGTATTTACCATTACAGGATTAGTACTATCTCCACTTACAGAATTAATATTTCGATTCATTTATGGTAAGGGAGAAAAGATTTGTCCTATTAAAGATGAATTGTTATTGGAAAGTGCCACAAGTTTAGCCAATAAGATAAGAACAAGAAAGGTGAGTTAACATTTTTGTCAGCATCATCTTATCCATTTCAAAATAATTACATGTAATTATTACATTAAAGTAGATACAATGAATGAACGGCACACACATTTCTTTGGCGCATCTTAGAATATTATATGTTGTTTCATGTATTAAAAGCATTCAAGTATACCGCCAATAGGATTTTTTAACAGTCAACAATACATCTACTGCAGTCAGGCCTGTTTATATCCACATTACATGTATTATTGATTAACTAGAAAGTAGAAACATGTATTATTGATTATCTAGAAAGTAGAAACTATCTCATTAACAAAATATTATCTAAGATGGAACAGCAATAATTGCCCTGTGAATGTAATTACTCTAGTGTAGGGTAGTTATTCAGATAATTTCTCTCTTCTCAGGTAACTGCTGAACATGTTATGCAAGTTTTTATTGAAAGAGTGAAAGAAGTGAATCCCAAAGTAAATGCTGTGGTAGCCAATAGATATGAAGAGGCCTTAAAAGATGCAAAACAAGTTGACAGCTTGTTAGATAATTCCAGTATTCCAGAAGAATTTTCACAAGAAAAATGTCCATTTCTTGGTGTTCCATTGTCAGTTAAAGAAGCATTTGCTACAAAAGGTAATTTTAGTTCAGTTCTGAGGGTTCAAGTGAAGAAAATGATAACAGACAAAGAAAGTATCAGTCTGGAAGCAATATTACTGATACACAGTATATCATGTCCATCTGTAGATAATAACTAGCCAGTTAAACTTTTAAAGATGCTTTATGTAAGAGCTAAATCTGCCTATTACATGATTCATCTTTAAAAGTGAATATATGTTACTATAATGTGCAAATGTTGTATCAGTAGTAGTTATTTTATACAGAGGATTTTGTAATGGTACCAGTATTGATAACTATGAATGGGAAAACTCCAACATAATTGAGTTTATCAGTGTGTCCCATTACAATATCACTATCAGTCATGAACATTGAATAATGCTGTTTTTCTTTGGTTTCAGACATGCCTCATACATCAGGTCTCATTAGTAGACAATATCGTATTGCTGACCATGATTCACCTTGTGTAGCTAATCTAAGGAAAGCAGGTTTTATACCTTTCGTTAGCACCAATATTAGTGAATTATGTATGTGGTATGAATCTGCTAATCATGTTTATGGTAGAACTAAAAATGCCTACAATACGAGCAGAATAGTTGGTGGCAGTTCAGGTTTGTATGAAATTAATATATATAGAGAGAGAAATGGGGTTTAACGTCGATTCGACACAAACTAGGTCATTTCGGGACTAACACATGGTTCAATTTTATCTTGATAATTCGCTTGCGCGAGTAGGTTTTTTTAGCACTGGGAGGAAACCAAAGGACCCGGAAAATCAACGAAGTTGGACAGATGCTCAGGGAATCGAAACCACGCTGGTTGACTCTAGAGACAGACCTTGTGATACAGAGCACACGCTCTAATCATTCCCCTTTCCCCTGAAATTAATATAGAGGAAAACCATTTATAAGTTCTAAAGTACCCAAATGTATATTAATCATTCAGGTAGGGTATGGCCTTTTGAAGTGTACTTTATTTTTTTTTTATCAATTTGAAATGCCAATAGAAACGTGTATGCACTAACATTGACATCATGATATAATCTGATCTACTTGCATGATGCTCTAATGAACACTTTTCACCCCTTATTTTTGCTTAATTTTAAGATGAAAAGTGTGTTTGATCCTCTGACCTGTTTCCTTTACATTAATGATTTTATTTCCATATAGACACGAATGATGACACTGATAATAGGCTCTAACACAAAAATAACCTTTGATGCATTCCTGTGTATTTCCTGTTTCACATAGTGGCTGTTTGGGCACAAACATAGCCACCATTTTGTACAAACTCATACATAATGAAGTATATGATTTATAATATGACTTTTCAGTCAAATCTTTGATTAAAATGAACATGATTTTTACAGGAGGTGAAGGATGTATATTATCAACAGGGGGATCAGTGGCAGGTGTAGGATCTGATATAGGTGGCAGTATTAGAATGCCTGCTTTTTTTAATGGTGTATATGGCCATAGACCATCCAAAGGTATCTACAAATACAGGCTAATTTGAATTCCCACATTTGTTATTGAAACAAGCCAATAAGATATACAATATTTTTCCTAACCATAACATAAAAACTTTTTAAAGAAAAACACTTCTTGAATTAGATGACATGATTCGTGTATAATTACCTAGAATGGATTTATGTATTAGTACCTAAACTAGTTCTTTTTAGAAGTTTATTTCACAGTTCTTTATTGGCTATCATATTGAATGATAGTCGATTCTGGCAGAAAAAAATTGATTATTGATATTGATCACCTATCAGTGGGGGATTATTTTATCTTTAGGAATAATTGCTTTTTTGCACATCCTTAGACATGATCTAAGGTCTCTAGAAAATGAATAATTTTAACTTAACAAGATATATCTTAATTTTCTTTCTTACTGACAGGAATAGTTTGTAATGATGGACAATATCCACCAGCAACAAAAGGTCAGATTGAGCTTCTGTCAACTGGTCCCATGTGTAGATATTCTGAAGATTTAATACCGTTATTAAAAACAATGGCAGGAAAAAATGCTGATAAACTTAAGCTTGATCAAAAGGTAGGTAGCTGAATTTGATAAATCAAACATTTGGTAATGCAAAGAAATAATAATTGTGCCAGGAGTTTGATGTATTGATTTAATGATAATGCCATGAGTGAATGAACAAAAGAAATGCCTTAAGTTTGCTGAAAATGTTCATCCTATGAGATAGATGAACAAAATAAAAATGAATTTGCTGAAATTTGTTACCGTATGATTGATAAACAAAAATAATGTTTATGACTTGAGATTTATCGAAATGTTTAGGCTAGGAGTTAAATGAACAAAATGGTGTGTATGCCTTTGATGAACAAGAATAGTCCTTATGCTTTGAGTTTGATGTACAAGGGGGGTTGGATGGCCGAATGGTTAGCACGTGCGTGCTGTATCATACGGCCTGTCATTGAGTCAACTGGCGTGGTTCGAATCTCCGGTTGTTCGTGACAAGGAGTAGGGTCGCCTGTCCAACCTCGTGGGTTTTGTCTGGGTCCTCCGGTTTCCTCCCACTGCTAAAGACCCCTACGTGCAAGCGAATTATTGAAATAAAATTAAACCATATGTTAGTCCCGAAATGACCTAGTTTGTGTCGAGTGGACGTTAAACCCCATTTCTCTCTCTCTCTTGATGTACAAGAATAATGATTATACAATAAGAGGACAGCATTATCAATTTCCAAGGCAATCTCTTATTTTATTAACTTTGTGTTTTAGGTTGATTTAAAAAAATTACGTATATTTACAATGGAAGATGACGGAGGAAGTCTGTTAATCAGTAAAGTAGATCCAGAACTAAAAGAAGCTCAAAGAAAGGTAAGTAGAGATAGAAATTAACTCTTCTCGATTATATTTTGGAGAATAAAACTGCTTGATTTTGTGTTAAAAGCCCTTAAAATCCCCTACCTTAGGGGCAAGCAACTAACTCAATATACATGATATGTTTTCAAACAACTAAAAATTGCCAGTCTTCATCTGGTAATGGAGACCTGTGTCCCAAGCTGTATTATACAGTGTCTGGATAAAACCCAATCTGATTAAAATACAGGTCTATATTTCGTTTCGTTTTTATACTTTCGATGGCCTCTACTACATGAAGATCTGACCAGGTCGCATCGGGGGTCATACAAGCGGGTTTTGACCCTATGACGTCAGATATTAATTAATCAATCAGTGTTGACGTTTCTAGTGGTTTACCCACAGAACTCTCTGTAACAGACCGTTTCATTGGCTAATTCCTCTTACTAACCAGATCGCCTGTTATATAACAACTCTTTCAGATCCGCGTGTTGTGAAGACAAGTAAAACGAAATGTTGAACTGAGAGAGAGAGAGAGAGAGAGAGAGAGAGAGAGAGGACTAACAAACATATGGTTCAATTTTTTTTTCAATAATTCGCTTCCACGTAGGGGTCTATAGCTGTGGGAGAAGATCGGAGGACACAGAGAAAACCCATGAGGTTGGACAGGTGACCCTATTCCTTGTCGCGTACTACCGGGGAATCGAAAACAGGCCAGTTGACTCAATGACAGACCTTATGATACAATGTGCATGCGCTAATCTTTCGCCCACCCAGCCCCCTTAAATTTTGAACGATAAAAAAAACGAAACGAAATAGGATCTGTGTTTTAATCAGATTGGATAAAACCAGACTTTTATTTTAAAAAAATTAACATGTAGGTGAAATTTACCTTTCATTATCAAGTACAGTACATGGGTCATGCACTGTATAGAGAGAGAGAGAAATGGGGTTTAACGTCCACTCGACACAACTAGGTCATTTCGGGACTAACATATGGTTTAATTTTATTTCAATAATTCGCTTGCGCATAGGGGTCTTTAGCAGTGGGAGGAAACCGGAGGACCCGGAGAAAACCCACGAGGTTGGACAGGCGACCCTACTCCTTGTCACGTACAACCGGGGATTCGAAACCACCATGCACTGTATAGACCTCTAAAGGAACAGTAATAGATTATCAGGTCACCCAACGAAAAAATTGACCTGAAATCTTAAAAGTGTTATATGTCCAGATAAGCGATTTAGACGTTCACATCCAAACGACTCAATATTTTTGCTGAAATTTTGAGATAAGGTAAATACACCATTCCTTTATATTTTGGTGCTTAAATTTCATACATACGCTTAATATCGATAGTGTTCATCCTCTCACGACCACAATGCTTCCCCACCAAATTTCAAAGAAACCTGTTAAAAACTATAGCTAACAAGGTTTTTGGCAAAGGGGGGATAACTACAGAATAAAAAGTCGCACCGAAAAACTGAATCATCTATGGCGTTCACTAGGATTTTGGCAAAGAGGGGATAACTTTGGAATGGAAAGTCGCAGAACATTGAAAATTGATAGGGTTCATTCTCTCATAACCCCAATACTTCCCACCAAATTTAAAAGAAACCCATGGAAAACTATAGCCTCTATCGCACCTGTTGACCAAATGAATCTGAAAATTACTCAGAATTACTCAGAAAGTGTCAGGGTTCATCCTCCATGCTTCCAACCAAATTTGAAAGAAATCTGTTAAAAACTGTCACCTCTTTTGCGTTCACAAGGTATTCAGCAATGCCGGAATAGCCTCTCTCGCTTTGACAAGGTTTTTAGCCAAGAGGGGATGGCTTTGGAACAGAAATTTGAAGAACTTTGAATATCAATAGGATTCATCCTCTCATGACCCCAATACTTTCAAACAAATTTGAAAGAAATCCATTAAAAACTGTAGCCTCTGTCGCTTTCACAAGATTTTCGACAAAGGGGGCAAATAACTCTAGAATGAAAAGTCTCTGAACGCTAAAAATTGATTGAGTTCCGTCCTCTCATGTCCTCAATGCTTCACACTAAATTAGAAATGAATCTGTCGAAAACTATAGACTTTATCTCGATTTCGGCAAAGGGGGGAAACCCTGGAACGAAAAGTAGCGGGACGCTGAATATCAATAGGATTCATTCTCTCATGACCCCAATGCTTCACACCAAATTTGGCGGAATAAAAAGTCGCAGAACGCTGAAAATCGATAGGGTTTGTCTCATGGCTACAATGCTTCAAACCAAATTTGAAAAGAATTCATCGAAAACTGTAGCCTCTGTCGCCTTTGCAAGGTTTTCAGAAAAAGGGTGATAACTTCTGAGCAGAAAGTCACAGAATGCTGATGACGTAATAATAGACTTAGATAAAATGAAAGGTTAGTTTATATGATAACATAGAAAATGATAAAAATGAAATTTAGAAGTAAGGAAAATTATGCATGATTATGAATGATTTTCAAACCCCTGGGATTTTCTTCATTTTCAAACAGTTTGTCCAAACTGCATTAAGTCTGTGAATCCAAATATATTCTGCTGTGTTGAATTTTTTCTTAACTTTATAATGAATTTTTTAAACTATGGTACGGTACACACATAATCATAACCAACTATATTGAAATGTGGGGGTTAGAATCTGGAAATGGCCAGGTTTTTGAAGCTTTATATTACTTCTTTGCTTATGGGAGATTTTAATAGAGAGCTGGCCATTCCTACTATAACAATTCAAAAATAATCTCGATTATCAAGTAACGTTTTCAATGGCTGTGGTACCGTTAGCCAATTCGGTTTGAGACGGGGTTGCAGTTCAATACGTATTACATTTATTTTTGCTACAAATTAAAAATAAAAGTTTTGATATATAGATAAATAAAGAATCAAAAGTTTGAAAGGAATGGACCAAATAAATGAGGCATAATTATAGCCGACTTCTTGTTAGCCTGCATGTACTCTTGTACTGTGGTAATTGGGGTAGGCCTACGTAACTCCCGAAGCAGACAAATAGGAAACAGTGATCCAATGGGGTGATGTTTGCTGCGATGTTTATCAATTTCCATAATTTTTCTGTAAACGCAAGTGACAAAAGAGCGTATAATACCGACATCCAAACTAATTTTAACCACAACTAAACATAATATCAAGGCCGTATATATCGAACTTTCAATCAAATTGACTGACATGCGGCCTCGCTCAACAGCGGCCTCGCTTCGTATACTCTATCATTTAGCCTTGATGTAAAATTTCCGGGGGTATGATGTCAACGTAACGGTTTATCTCCGCTTATGACGCCATTTAAAAATTTAATCAATCAATGAAATCCTGTTTAAATCCAAGCCAAATCCAAGCCATTCGTGGGTCTACAGAGTTGATTTTGTGCTTGTTGTGTAAATAAAGATCTAATTTATAATTTCTATGACATCTGAAGCCTAAATAAAGACTTGCAATAATCAGATTTAGCTCTTGCATAATGTATGTTTAAGCCTAGCGCTAAATGAAGTAATGGATTGGCCCACATAATGTATTCTACAGGTTTAACATGTTAAACAATAAACAGCTGATTTGAACAGACATCGTTTTCTCAGACACATTTCTGACGGCCCTACTTGCGATTATGGTCACACCTTTGAAGACTGAACATTTTCTGTTTTCTTTTAATTTGCCTCTACATTCTGATGCACGATCTGCGACAATAACAAAACTTCCACAATTTTATCAAAATCCTCAAAATTTATTATTCGAAACTGAAGACCTGAAAGATTCTGAAGATTTATTTTCTGTAGTCCATAACTTCCTCGACATCTCCCAAAGATTTTGAATGAATGAATAAAATATGAATCTTTTGATTGTGGTATTTATAGGCCTACATATAGTGTATATAGCCATCTAATAATTTGATCATACTTTACTTCTTTCACATGTTTTCAATATATATTTATGTTTGTATTTTTATGAAAAGGGAGTCTAAAGACTTCTGCCTGTTCTACAATCCAGTCTCTGTTAATAAATATTGTTTTAAAAAAAAGAAAACAATAAACATACGTACTAGCACTAGTAATTGGTTTGTGTTAACTGTTTCTATATATTTGATGTTTCTCACACTGAAATGGGGGCATATAAAAATTATCCTCTTTCTATTCTAGTTATGTAATTATGTTAATGTGCCAATTGAACTAGTCAACTTCCCATTTTAAAACTTGCGAGGTGAATATTTCAGTGACTAATAGGCTATTTTAAGTATTTGTGCTTAAGTATTTACACTTTTGGTTGTATAATTTTAAAAGAACGGTTTTGATTTTTTGTGTTGGATTTGAATTAACATATTCTGCCAGGTTTTGTTAAATATATATGGTTTAGAGACAGAAAAATAACAGATTACCGTGCTAATTACAACAGATATTCGACTCCATACAAGATTTGGAGCAATACATTGCCAGATGTTAATCCATCAGTGGCATAAAAGTGTTCAGCCAACAAAAATTTAGTGAAAGTTAGAGCTAGACAAAGAGACAAGAATTAACATTGAAGCATTGGCTCTATGCATCCAATTAGAACTTTGGAGTTATGTCCCTTAACTGGGAAACCCATTTTTTTTTTAACATGTGGCCATAAATATAGCTGATGTAAAACATTCAAATTGGAAAATTATTGACTTACCTGCTGTTTCTCATAGCGCAAAAAAATTTCAGTACGAAGAACTCAACCAAAGTTGATTGTGTGGAGTTACAGCAAATAAAATTCAAGATAATAAAATCATAACTGAAAATTCAAAATGGAAAAACCTTTAAGGAAATAACTTTATGACGTAGAAAAATTACCTAAGGATAATTCCCAGCCTGATATAGAATGTAATGAGCTAAGAAGTGTATTAGCTTAATTTACTTTAACCATATAAGGTCTGTTTAATGTTTAATTTAAACTTTCATCATTATGATTATATTATGTGTATTTCAGGCTGTTAGATACCTAGAAAATATAGTAGGAGTGAAAGTAACACCAGTAAAGATACATAGAATGAAATATGGATTTGATATGTGGTGTGCAAAAATAGCATTAGCTGGTGGCACAAGCTTTTCGGAATTCATGGGAAATGAAGAATATTCAGTCAATGGTTACCTAGAAGCGGTGAAGTGGATATTTGGACAGTCACAACATACATTACCAGCCATCTTGCTTTCAATGATTGAAAAACCTTCTTTCTTAATGGAAAAGAATAATAATAGACTAGTTGGAATGTTAAAAAAACTAGAAGAAGATGTCCAAACCCTGTTAGGTGATGATGGTATTTTATTATACCCAACACATCCTAGAATAGCTCCATATCATAATCAACCTTTATTTATGCCTTTCAACTTTGCCTACACAGCCGTATTTAATGCCCTAGCACTTCCAGTTACCCAGACTCCAATGGGACTCAGTACGGACGGACTGCCAATGGGAATACAAATAGTAGGTAGTGCCAATATGGACCGTCAGACTATAGCTGTAGCTAAGGAGTTAGAAAGTGGGGCAATTGCTGGGTGGGTTCCGCCCTCACTTCAAATAAGTTCATCTTAGGATTCACATTCATAGCCATTATATATTAGTTACAAATTTTTGTTTGCCATTTTTATATGCCAACATTTAATGTGGGCATGTATTGTCAATCCCTGCATCCATGATTAGTTTTATGTGTCCAAGTTTTCTTGTGAATATTCTACACAATACAGTTGTCACAGTGGTTGTTCATTTAATCCTAAGGAAAAACTCTTATTAAAGTTCAAGAGTTAAATCCTCATTTACATTCAAACATGAAAGCTTTCAAACTTCATATAGGATAAAGTTATTGATAGAATGTTTTAAAATTCAGTGGTATTGTTCACTAAGGTATGGGGAGGAATCCTATTGAATTTTGGAGGGTTGGATGGCCGAATGATTTGCACCTGCGCGCTCTATCATAAGGTCTGTCATTGGGTCAACTAGCGTGGTTTCGATTCCCCGGCTGTACATTACAAGGAGTAGGATCGCCTGTTCAACATCATGGGTTTACTCAGGGTCCTCCAGTTTCCGTCCAATCTGATTAAAATACAGATCTATATTTCATTTTTTTATACTTTCGATGGCCTACACTACATGAAGATCTGACAAGTTGTACTCGAAGGTCGTCTCATGGGTCGTATGAGCAGCTTTTGACCCTACGGTGTCAGACACAGTAATCAAACAGCGTTGGCGTTTCTAGTGGTTTACCCACAGTTCTGTGAATGGCACGCCAAGAAGTTGCCGTAACAGACCGTTTTATTGGCTTACCCCTCACTTCAACCAAAACGCCGGTAATATAACAAATCTTCCAGATCCTAGTGTAGTAAAGACAAGTACAACGAAATTTTGAACTATAAAAAATGAAACGAAACAGGATCTGTGTTTTAATCAGATTGGTTTCCTTCCACTGCTAAAGACCCCTATGCGCTAGTTCTTTTTGGAACTGTCTTTAAGCGGACGATGTCCACTGACAGGGGACATTGTCCGCTCAAAGACAGTTCCTAAAGGAACTACCCATGCGCAGGCGAATTATTGAAATAAAATTGTACCATATGTTAGTCTCGAAATGACCTAGTTTGTGTTGAGTGGGCGTTAAACCCCATTTCTCTCTCTCTCTGCCTTTAGAATTTCTAAATTTTAGATTTCAAACATGGTTTGCCAATTCATATTTTGAATTTTAATCTTTATAAAAGCGATACAGGGCAGAGTTCCATATGGATGAATCCTTTCAAAATTAGGAGTTTTTTATATCGCAAATCACCAAGTTTATTTTGAAATCAAGAGTGCCCATTGTGACTTAAGATAAAATTTTATAATCGTAAATTTCAAATGTATGCATTTTACATTCCCATTTTGAACTATATTCAAAACTTTAGGGTTGGTTCTTGCATTTATTTTTCTGTTGATATATTTGCTTTTAAAGCTTAGTACAGAGTTTATTATTATTATAATTTTTTTTTTTTATAAACTTGGCGGCATGTGATTTGTCGACAATGATTTTAGATTTAGCTTGAATGACAAGCTCCTTTCTATATCTATTTAACAGTATTAATATACAAATCAAATTAGTGATAACATACATGTTTTGTCATGTGAAGAACAATTGTATCATCCTTTTTAAAGGCATGCTACATACAATATTTATGTTGTCTTCCCATGTAATGAGAAGAATCTCAACTTGTTCTGTCTGTATATTTCCGTTCTACGCAAATTTATTGTTTAAATTTCATTAAGTCTCTGAAGGACACCAATATTTAGAGATGTTGTCATTACATGCATACATTTAAACTGAATAGCATATTTTTATATTGCCGTCGCCCTTGTCTGTGTGTATGTATGTGTCTCTGTGTGTTGCCAACAGGCAACGATTCTTAATGGATCGTCTTGGAACTTGGAATATGTATTCCTTATATAGCTTAAGGATGACAACTGCATGTCCCAACTTACTTTATTGCAGTGTTTTGAATTTTATCAGTCAAATAGCTGGCTTCTTTAGTGAGAAATTTACTTAGTGTGCCATTCAAAATTTTGCAGCACACTTTGAGAGTCACTGCACGACAGGTTACAATAATTAACAGATTTTGTTCAAATTCAGCGTATCAATCATTTCAATAACAGGGTGGTACCTATTTATATTGTTCCATATCCAACCCGGAGGGGCAGGGCCGCGTCCAGTTTTTGTATTTATCGTCTACAGGCTGCAATTCTGAATGGATAATCTTGGAACTTTGCATATTTTTTCCATATACCGTAAAGACAGCAGGTATTTATTTTGGTGCATGCCCCGATCTCGTGGAGCGATGTCACACCCACTTTTTTGTTAATATTTTGTCTGTAAATTTGGCAAAACAAACGCCTAGCCTTTTTTGTCTCTTGTCATATTACAGCCATTTCATATTTCATTCTCTTCATTTTAAAAAGAACCCTATCAATCAAAGCAGAAATGTGGATGTATATTGCAGCGTTAGCGATGGTCTTGTTATATAACATATTATCCATGATAGATAAAAGGGTAAACCAGGACGGAAGCGACTTAACTGTTTATGAGCAGTTCCCCCTTCTTTCCAATAGGTATTTAGCAAGCAAATATTAAAAACGCTCAAGTAACCTGCGCTATTGCTCACTTGACCATAAATGTTGTGATTTATTTGTTGTTTTAGTTTGTTATTATGGGGCAATTGACATTCACCTTCTATATTATTATCTTATTATCACACTAATCTGATCTTCTACAAGAAACCTCATGGCACAAATTAGTTAAAGATTTAGATATGTGCCCTAGATATGTTTCAAAATACATGAGATCTGGGCCCTTATTCACGAAAACTTAAACTAAGATACAATCAAAATTTTAAGAAATACTGCAATTCGATTGGCTGTCCAATATGCAAATTGGATATATGCAAATTGATTTTACTGGTCAGCCAATCGAATTGCAGTATTTCTTAAAATTTCGATTGTATCTTAGTTTAAGTTTTCGTGAATAAGGGCCCAGATTCCTTGGGACGTCATTATTTGATTAGTTTTTGTAAAGTAATATAGAATATTATATTTTTAAAGAAATATATACTTTTATTTGATGCCTATAAAAGTAAAAATATAATGAAGTTGATAACGGGCATACACATAATATATCTTAAAATTTGGTTGGTATCATGAAAATTAACGTATTTGTATTTATATGGCTGTTGCATCTGTTGCAACCTCCACAATTATACAAACATTTGTATAAAAATTTTAGCAATGGTTATTAATAATAAGCTTACAATAAATAAAATAACATAGGATGTCAGACTATGAGTATTTAGCTCTAAAAATATATTTAAAGGAGCTAAATCTCTATTTTTAGTGCCTAGAAATGGACACAAATGGGTCGCAACGTATATAATAAAGTAATATGAATGTTTATAAACTGATTTACATTCAGTCGTTTCCGTTTTTACTCTAATTTCTAATCAGTTATGTTTGGCGAAATACGCGAAGAGTACAAATTGAATGGCAGTCTTTGGCATCTGATTATTCCAGTTTACACCAGTAGTATTCTACTTTGTGGGGTATGTTTAGCCTCGTTCATCGAGTCGCCTCATTACAAATGGTGCTCGAAAGCATTCTGGCGCACAATTCGTGTGCCAATTTTAAAAACTTTGTTTCGTTTTAAATATTGTATATCAGAAGCCCATCTTTTCATGGTAACATAACAACTTCAATGTTGATTTAAATTGACCAATGAATAAGTCTTGTTTGAAATGTCAAAGACTGTGAATGATATATTGAGTTAAAGACTTGCCTCCTTTAAATTGAAAGAACTAACATAAAATAATATATTTAAATTGAAAGAACTAACATAAAATGCTTGTAAATCATCTATAAAACTAAACTTTAAAATTATTTTTGAAGTACATTTACAATATTTTTATTCTATTTAGAAATTTTCAAAAACATTTGAGAAATGAAATCCCATGGTATACATGTATCTTTAGCCATAAACCATTCCAGAATTAATGTTTTAATTGATGTTATTTTAAATCTTTTATTAGGTTTATGTTGTAACTGGTTTTGTTATGTTAGTACCATTTTTTTTTATGAATATCTATATATATTTTTGTTACTAAAAAGGACCAATACTGAAAAGTACAGGTAATTAAACTGTGAGCCCATATTGGGTTGAGCACCATGTAGTTATGCATAAGAAGCATCTATTGAAAGTTGTAATTTATTCCTATATAAGTTTTAAAAAATGGTTATGATTTATCAACTCAAAAAAAATTGTTGTCTTTGTAATAGCTACATTTAATCAAAATATGCTTAATTAAATTGATTGTTTTCAACTTAAAATGCTGATACACACATAAGTATTACTATAATTTTTATTGTTAATAATTAACAAATAAAATTTGTTTTTGTTATATTTATACTTGTAATATTTATAAACTTACCACTAGAGCTAGTACCATGTTACATTTATTTACAATATTACGCACTTTTTTCAAATTATTTAAATACTGTTTAGTAATTATGATTATTGGAAAATCCATAAATTATAAATATTTTTTCAATTAATCTGGTTTATAGCAAATTATACTTGTAAATATTCACATGTACATGTTTTAAAAAAAAACGAAGTGCTTTTGTGAAAATTTCGTACATATTTTTGTAGAGATAATAAGATGTTTTTAGAACAATAATGTGAGATAACGTGTGGCTAGTGTAAAATGAATGTTTCACTTTTGATATGTGATAATATATTTATATAGAATAGTCTAGAAATGACAGTAAAAAGGGAACACCTAATTTTTTTTATTCTTTGTTATTTGTTATCCGTAGCAGAAGTAAGGGAAGCAGGAATATGTTGCCGTTGAAACTTTGGTCTATCCCTAGTGGATCCTGTCTGAAGAAACGATCGACCAGGCTCAGAATGGTAATGTGGTGGCATCAAAGTCTTCGGGCGACGGCCTTGGTACCCGTGCTTTCTTGAATTAACATAATGGTGTGTTCAGGTGTCAATCTTTGCATATCATTCCGTCTTCCTGATTCTTGTTCTGATTCCTGCCTTTTTAAAACCACATTTTATACCCCACGTCTCCACAATAAAACGGCCTGCTTTTGAGATAATTGCTAAAGATAGTCACGCAAATATAGCCTATACAACAGCTTATCCGAAAGGAAAACTTGGACCTTTATGCCTTCAAGAAACCTAATCGCTATCGTGTACAAGCTTTTCCGGACATTCATAATATATCTCTGAAACAGGGTTTATCCTTTCCGATACCAGTACTTCACACTAAATTTGAAACTTGACAGGGTTAATACTAATGATTCACACAAACTTTGAAAAGATCTCCATCATGTTAACGGGGGGGGGGGGCACGGTGGTTCAGTGGGAAAGACGTTGGCTCGCTAACTTGGAGGTCCGTGTTCAATCCCAGTGTTGGCCGAGAAAGTTCATCTGCATCTACATTTTCCGGCGTGGTTCCCTCTTATCAGTGGTGTAGGACGGAGGGCCTGGCCTGGCATGGGCAAGGTATAGTCGTTCGGGAGGGATACGATATGGCTCCAAAGCTTCACACATAAATTCGTTTAAACCATAGTCTGTATCGCGTAATAAGGTTTTTGGTTCGAAAATGAGGTACCTCAGGAACAGTTGACATCTTGTGAAACTAATGGTAATACTTCACACACAGTCTGAAAACGTCCGTTCGGAAAAGGTGGGGGTAGCTCTGTAATGGAAGGTTGCAGAACTCAGAACTAAATTTGGTAGAATCCGTCAAAAACTGGAGCCTCTATCGCGATCACAAGGTTAACGGCGTAGGCTGGAGGTTGTAGTAACTCAGGAGCAGAGTTCGTCCTCTCATGATGATCCCAATTCTGTACACCAAATACGAAAAGAATCCGTTAAAGACTGTAGCCTCTATCACAATCTCGAGGTTTTCGAGAAAGGGGCGTAATTCTGCGAATATCACTGTGTATCAAGCTGAATGTTGAATTAAGGTGGGTGCAGTATATGTATTTGTATATTTTTACAGTATTAGAATGAATACAAGTATATTAAAATTGACACCATGAATCCCCACCCCCGCCCCAATCGCTTTGTTACTTCCCTGTGCATTCAAATTCAATACTGCAAACATATGGGCACTCCTGTTATCTTGCAGCAAGATTGTAACTTACAAGACAAAGATGTATTAACTATTTGAATCTATATAAAGTTACTGATCGTGAAATAAAGTATAACTAACTCTTACCTAAGCAACCGATCCTAATACGTTAGTCTGCATACGTACTGAGCTTCTATCGTGGCAAAACAGTAAATATATATTCTCTGCTATATATATTATATTATCTGCAGAAAACAACTCTTCCTTGTATATAAATAATTATTTACTTATTCTATACATACAGACAAGATTTATCCTGTTGTACATTTGAATTTATGTGGCTGTAATAGGGGAATTCCCAATAAAATTATTTAAGCGTCTATATACACTGGTGTCACATCCTGTTGTATTTCCGATATACTATATAGCTACTAGCTAGTTAGTATAACCTACGTGTAAATATTATTAGATCTTGGCCTACATAAAATATAACAAAATATTTAAACATTTGAAAATTGTTATACAACTGTATTGCCCTTTTCAAGTCTTCTTTATAAACGCTAAAACCTAAAATAAACTAATATTATTAGTTTTTTTGTTTTGTTGATCATTCTGTTCTTAAAGATGCATTATGTAAGATTTAAATAATGCGCTAGTCGTTCTTCCTATAATAGTTTAAAAATAGATAATAGCACTAAAAGGCCCATTGTCAATTATCGTTGCCATGATAATAAAGGCTCGATTGTCAGACCTTTTATGGATTGACGTCCAACTTAACGTTAAAGTAGCTAAGTCTCTAACTCAATATCATCCAAAGTCTTCGACATTAAAAACTCGAATTATTTGCAATTTAAATCAACATTGATGTTGTGATCTTATCGGGAAAAGATGGGCTTCTGATATCCAATATATAAGACAAAATAAACATTTTACCATTGGTACACGAATCGTAACTAAGTGGCTCGAAGAACGAGACTAGATATAATTATTCCACAAGTCATGTCAAACGGTGACGGCATATTCTTATCTGGAGAGCACGCGCAATAAATACTATCGCGGTAGACTGGAATAACCAGACGCCAGAGATTGCCATTCGATTGAGACTTTTGGCGTATTTCGAAGAACATAACTGATTTGAAATTAGAGTAAAAAGAGAAACGATTGAATGTAAACACTTATATACATTCATATTACATTATTATATGCTTTTCGACCCATTTGTGTCAATTCCTAGGTCCAAAATATTAGCGATTTACGCGGCTTGTCGAATCCATTCATTTTCCTCATAGCACACTGTATGGCGTATGCCCGTCTTCATTAGCCCAGTTTAGGAGTTGGACGTTAAACCCCATTTCATTTTGGTACCTCGTTCGTCTAGGTTCGACCCGCTGCGCTCCTAGTCTCTATCATCCAGAAATATATTCTACGAGACTACTGGACTCCTGGTGTAATTTCCAAATCCATGTCTCTTTTCCGTTGGGTAGAACGATTTCTACCACATATGGAGCGAAATGTGTCAATATTGTGTTCGCAATTGAAATCTTTAGATACACAAACCTAAAGTAGGAAAAATTAAACAAATGACAACCCGCCTAACCAAATGAGGATAATCAGCAGAAGTCTGTGTCCATTGACAGAAGAGTCGATAGTCCAGAATCAATAACTTACTTTTCTTGCAAGCAACGACACCATTGAACCGTGCATAATTAAGCTAAGGTATTCTCAGAAAAATGAATAGTTTGTAAGATTTCTTATTTCTATTTCATAAAGATCACTACGGGCAGCGGTGCCAGCGGTGAAGCTAGTACTCACCGATGGCAGGAAATACGTAAAATGTCCGACCGAGAGATGTATGAAAAAAAATAGTTTTTTGGTTGTTTAAATGTTGATTGTGGCGAAGCGAAATACCAATATATGTTGTATATAGCGAGTAATAAAAGGCAATTATACTTCTTTGGATTAAGTTTGGGGTAGATGCACTTTATTTCTATGTGAGTAAATGACCTGTCGGGTGTAATTAAAAAAGGGGCTACTAATCGGAGAAGTCTTGGAAAAGTTTAATATATCAAAGACCCTAAATAAATGAGTAATGGGTAAGAAAATTCTATGTTTATACCTGTAAAGAAATAGACGAACGAATTGACATAAATTGACAAAGACAAAAGAATAATAATATTATAAACAATGTCATTCATAGAGGAGTTCCTGTGGATAAACGGGAAAAGGAGTGTGTATATTCGCGGATGACGATGTAACGAGTATCTCGACAACGATGTCAAATTCTAGTTTGGTAGATTAAATATGTCGCAATTCAGCTGACCTCATTTTGTAAACATAAACATGGAAAAGGATATCCTTACGTACAACATTGTTAAAAACAAAAATAATATCTTAAAACATTTTCATGAGATATGGTTGAAATATCTCATTTATATCAGCAAGGTGTTTAGAGCATGACATTATTTATTGTCATTACTACATTGATATAGTGGAACTTAAAATGTGTAGCGTTAAACTTTTACTACATAATATTTAAAGCCCCAGGTCGTATCAAATGACTTTCTGTCCATCAACCGTCTGGATCATTTAGATAATAGATAATCAATCTCTAACGAGGAATTTCATTGGTATACTATCTGGAACGCGAAGGCGTTTAATGGAGGATTGTTTTGATCATCCCAATAAACTATAAGGTTGACGTGTGTTACTTTAATTGGAAACCTTATGGCTAATTACCTTAATAAATGTTCGGTTTATTTTATTTCTTTTACAACTTCGTAAGCTAAATGAACTGGGGATATAGTAAACTTCTATGCTGCTGAGATTTATGGACATTTTGAGCAAAGTTCTAGCTGCTAGGTAAACGAATATCTAAACTGCAGATGGAAGGTTTCGTGGGTTTATAAACAACAATTCTGGGAAACCCAATTATTGCGCATTCATTGAACTGTTCCCGAATATATCCCACCAATCAGCCCACCAGGCAATCCTTCATACACCATTTACGGATCCTCGGGACTTTATATAGGTCTATTGTAAATATTTATAACGGAAATTTTGTATGACCCGGAATGGTTCGAGTAGGCTTCTCTTTATAACAAAACGCATTATATGAATTCCATAGTTATATTTTTTTCTTACTGTAATGTATAATTTTGGAATTATCTAAACTCGGAACCATCGTGGGGGGTTGGGTGGGGTGGGGATAGCCGAATGGTTAGCGCGTGCCTTCTGTATCATACGGTCTGTCATTGAGTCAACTGACGTGGTCTCGATTCCCCGGTTGTACGTGACAAGGAGTAGGGTCGCATGTCCAACCTCGTGGGTTTTCTCCGGGTCTGTTTTCCTCCCACTGCTAAAGACCCCTACGTGCAAGCGAATTATTGAAATAAAACTGAACCATATGTTAGTCCCGAAAAGATCCAAGTTTGTGTCGAATGGAGAGAGAGAGAGAGAGAGAGAGAGAGAGAGAGATGGGGGTTAACGTCCACTCGAAACATAGTTCTAAAATATATAAAACAAAGTTTACACTGTTCCTTATTAATTTTGATCTGTGAAGTTTTTGATTTTTTTTTTTGTTTACTTTATTTTTGTATCTATTTATCAAAAAGAATTAATCTATGAGATCTTTCTAATCTATTTTATTCCATTCTTTTTTTAAACAAAAACACCTTTTAGCAGAAAATATTTTAGAGTTCAATTTACAGGGTTAATATTATTTTATCTATCATTTATTTCAGGTTTGAAATCTCAATATATCCTATCTGTTGCGTTTTTCAGAAGTCATGGTCATTTCTAGGAAATATACAATTTTTCTCCAAGGTTGAAACTCTAATTTTTCAAGATTCATCATTTGAAAATTGTAACAGTTTCATATATAGGTCAACTGACCACATACTTTTAGATGCATTTATCTAGATTGTTAGACATGCTTTCGCAAATGACACAGAAATTATAAAACAATGTTGATTGCGTTGTTCTTTGGGTTCCTTTCAGAATAGGAATTCTACTTTCATTTTTTGTTTGATGGTTGTTGTTTTTTCCAAGAATAGACTCAAAGGGGCGTGCTACTATCTTCAATATTGGGCCACATATTAAAATATTACTTTGGCCTAAAGTTTGGTCGGATTTCATAACATATTCATATCACCTTCAAAATGTGTTTTAGGTATATTTTTGAAATAAAACTCCCACTCCCCAAGGTTTTGTACTGTCAATGTAGTTGGTGTTAATTGGCGTACGTGGTAAAAGGCTGCTTGAATACTCAAAATGGATATGAGGTCAGGGTTAATAAATTAAAAACGTTATTTTATAAGTAAGCACTATCAAGTAAACAGAGACGGCTCAACTACACGGTACACTTTCCCTCACAGCACAACGCCGCTTTTTAAAGCTCAAAGAATATAATTATCAACTACACCGATTAACGAAATAAAAATGAAATGAGATGAGGTTTAACGTACTAGTACTACTGTTCTGCTCTGATTGAGCTAATAAAGACGGACATTTCGCCCGGACAGCGGCACTGATCGAATCTCTAACGGGGAATTTCATTGGTCTACTATCTGGAACGCGAAGGCGGCAAATGGATGACTATTTTGGTCAACCCAATAAACTATGATATGGTCGATGTGCGTTACTTTAATTTGAAAACCTTATGGCTTACCTTAAATTTTCGATCTGGTTTCTTTTTTTTTTTTTTTTTTTTTTTTCTTCTAAAATTTCGTAAACTAAATTAACTCGACATGTAATGAACTTCTATGCTGCTGCTCTTCCGTTTATGTGAGATTTATGGAAATTTTGAGCAAAGCTCTAGATGCTAGGTAAACGAATATCTAAACTGCAAATGAAAGGTTTCGTGTGTTTATAAACAACAATTCTGGGAAACCCCATTATTCATTCAACTGTTCCCGAATATATTCCACCAATCAGCTCACCAGGCAATCCTTCATACACCATTTACGGATCCTCGGGACTTTGTATAGGTCTATTGTAAATATTTATAACGGAAATTTTGTATGACCCGGAATGGTTCGAGTAGGCTTCCCTCTATAACAAAACGTATTATATGAATTCCGTAGTTATATGTTTTCTTACTGTAATGTATAATTTTGGAATTATCTCAACTCGGAACCAAAATGAATGTCCAGAATGTGACAAAGTTCTAAAATATATAAAACAAAATTTACACTGACTATCCATAATTTTGACCTGTGAAGTATTGGATTTTTTTTTTTTTACTTTATTTTTTATCTTTTTATTAAAAAGAATTAATCTATGAGATATTTCTAAATTTATTTGATTAACTTATAGTTGTTTTTTTTAAATTTTTACCAG